GAGAGAGAGAGAGAGAGAGAGAACAATCTAAATTTTTCGTTTTAAATAAAACGTTTTGCACTGTAAATAATTGCCAAAAGCAATTTAATACGCAGTGGAAATGGACAAGCCCTTCAGAAAATAACTGAAAAATAGCTGATGTTTTATCTCGCATTTCATCGCCCGGCAATATTTTTCGACACAACGTATATAAACCGAAAAAAAATTCGAGCATTGTTTTTTAACATCAAAAACACAACGAGGTCCTGATAATATGCGACGTCAGAGTATACGCCAACCGAAGAGTCGTATTTTTGTGATACGCATTATTTGCTCACTTGTTACGTAAATATGTCACTATCAAAATTGGGACGAGTCTCCTTCGTCACGTAATCTTTGCGAGGTTGATATACGATCGAGTTGCAAAAGACCCATACACTCATCCAGCGATACGCAAGAAAAATCAGTGTAAACCGAGAGAGCACGCGTACATCATTACAGGACTGTTTATATTTACGTGTAGACGCGCAATTTCTTTGAACTCTGTTCACGTGCTCGTAGCATATATACGTCTAAGAGAAATCGAAGGAAAAAAATGTAAATATGTCCACTCCACGCGCAAAAATGAATAACAAAACAGAGGATGTCCGAGCTCTTGCCACTGATCGCAGGAATTCTGTATGTTTTTTATCACCAGCGCGCACGCTTCTTTTTTCTCGAATATACCTACATTATAGGTATCTTAGTCATCGTACACGCTTATAAAAATAAAGTCGAAATCGCGCGCGCGCAGCGAGAGGGAACCTACCGCTATTCTCTATACCAATAAAAAAATAAATATAAATACAATAAGCGCACCTTTTTTTTTTCCTCAAATATTTCCGCGCGATTAATGGAACGGAAAATCGAAGCTCGCGAACTCGGCGGTGATCGTCCAAGGATAAGCCGCGGGGTAGAGTAAATCCGGAGCCTTAGCTCTCGTTTCCCGAGGAAAGAAAAACGCGTCCAGGCACACGGGGGAAGGAAGGTCGCGCGCGGCGAGTAGAGCCGATCTTTCGCGCGCGGTACGCCTAAGCGGGTAAGTAGGTACGACAACGGAGGAGGAAAGAGTTAGGTAGAGGGTGGCGCGGATCGATGCATCGGCGGCGCGAGTCCGGAGTAGAATACGCTTCTCCCCGTAAAGCTTGCGCCAGACTGTGCGACCGACTCGCGATTCGCGGTTGGCTACTCGTATGAGATTCGCGAGCGGTGGACGGATATAGGCAAAATTCATCAAATTCATCGCATGCGTTTGTTGATTACCGATTATGTCAAATCGCTTTTAACGAAGTCAAAGGGCGCGAATTGCATCGCGAATCGAGTCGATTCGCGCAGCGTTAATTTATGCGAAGAAGATTCGTGTTTATTTACATGTGCATGCGATGATAAGCCCATTATGATAATTGAGCCAGTCGACAGCAAAAACGATGGAGAAATTAGATTAATTATTACATTGTGCTTTTCATTAAGCAATTAAGCCACTCGAACTTTGCGTGGAATGATTGGAAAGATAATTGCGAATAATTACAAATCGCGAATGGTGAAATAATGAATTGCGAAATAATGCCAAATTGGCGAACAATGAATTTCAGAGATTCTTATTATCGAATAGAATTAAATTGCAAATCAGCGAATTGCAATTCGCTAGCTTATTATTATATTTATTAATATTTATTTTAATTCTTGCCTTGCGGCTTAGGATTTAAAATGGCTTTCGATTTACAATTCGGATTGCGTTTATCATTATTGATGTGTAATATGAAGTCGCGAGATAAGTGAAACGATGCTCGGTGAACTCCCGAGGGTGAAATCCGTAACAGCAAGTGTCGTATCGAATTTCCCCCATTCGGACGACTCTTCGACAGAAATTCCCTCGATCATCGTGGAAAGAAGTTAGAAAAGAAGAATTTTAGCTGTCACTGATGAATGGAGCGCTTTCCTCGCTCGAAAAGCTCCGGCGCTCTTCGCGCGTGAGATTCGGAAATCGCCAGCGATTACAGTCCCACCGGAGACTATGGCGGCAAAATGGACAAATTGGATAACTTACGATAACGATCACCGTGCCTCGCCGTCGCGTTCCCTCGAAAAGCTACAGTCCTTCGCGCGAGATCGGGGAGATACAACATTTTCATTGTTGCAGTTATACACGGGCGCGAATTCGGAGTCCTTCCTTCTTCGTTTTCAGAACAGAAAGTTTAGCTGTCGATAACGATCAACGATTCGAGTGTCCCGCGTCGAGTTTCCCCGAAAAACTCCAGTTTTTTTTGCGCGAAATCGTGCGATAGAGAGACTTCTATTGTCACGGATAAAATTAATTCTGTCAATATGATTAACTCCCTCTTTGTGTGTGTGTTTAACTGATTCTTCGTTCATTTTCCTTCTATTCAAGTCGTACTATTCATTATAAAGATATAACCCAGTCAACTGCGATTAATTACTAACTGATAGAATTATCTTGCAAATATGCAAACAAAGCGTGGCTTCAAACTCCTCATTTTTTTGCGAAAAATAAATTTTCGATTATGAAACATGTATACGAGTATGGTCCTCGAATCCAGAGACTCGATTTTCGCGAGTCAGAAGTTCAATTTTAGACAGGAATAAACAATAGTTCTGACTCGAAATCTCGCGCTGATTTTCCGAGAGGCTTCGATCTCTCGCGAGAGAACGGAGTCTCGTGATTAGAAAACGGTCGCGATTATAGAATCCTCTGCAATTCAGAGACGGCGTTCTCGCGAGCCAAAAGTTCAATATATCGCGTGGGGCAAATCCAGCTCGACTCGCCGCCCGTCCGGCCCGTCGAGAGTTTTTTCCTAAAAAAAAGAGCAGCCTACGGCCATTCGCACAACCGGACTGATAAACAGACACGTTGTCACGATCGGGAACGTACGCGAGTCGCGTAGTACAGACTGTACAGAGTCCTCGTTTCTCGTTCTAGAGACCAGCGTCCTTGTTTGTTATTCTAGAGCCGCGACGTTCATTTTTTTTCCCCTTTTTACATGCACACGCGCAGAGGACGGACACACTACGAGCGGGGAGGAGGAAGAGGAGGCGTAATTTCATGGCCCGCGAGAACGTCCAGCCTATGCAAAGAGATCTCTCGGGACGTTCCGCGTAACCGGGATGACGGATCCCGTCGAAGGGAGGAGACGGATTTCCCGTCGCCCTTCGATCGCTCTACCCTACAATCGACTTGATCGCCGGGATCGCGCGGGTCCACGCGACACGCTCGTGAAAGTCCCGTCACAATCGCTCGTCGCGATCAGCTTAGCGACAGCTCGTCGTGTCTATTTTTTCCTCCCTTTCGAGGGCACGACTCGCCCTCGATGGAGGAAACGCGCGACGGACGACAAACGACGGACGAATCTCGAGAACGACGAAGAGGAGGAAGAGAGGAGGAACCCAAGGAATCTTCTCGCGATAACGCGATAACGTTTTATTCTCTCCTTTTTCTCTCCGTCTCGTCTTCTCTCTTCCCCAACGTCTCTCTCTCTCTTTCTCTCTCACGCACGTCGTTGATCGATGACCGGTCGCACGCTTCGCGGCACCCGCGGCGCGGAATCGCCCGCTCCGCGAGGAAAATGTTACGCGGACCTCCGCCCTCCCACCCACCGGGTCAGTGAGAAACGGAGGAGACGACGGCCGGGCAAATCGGAAGTGCGAAAAGAAGGTACAGAAAAAAACATAGGCAGAAATATATTATTACTCACCACCGATACTCAGCGTTCTCCATCGGGTCTTCCGCTTGGAACCCTTCTTGCCCATCTCTCGCGGTCGCCCGCACCACCACTACCACCACCGTGGTCGCCACCTCCTCCTCCTTTCTGCGCTCTGCGCCTCGTCCTGCGCCGCGATGATTTTCCTCGGTCGATCGTTTGTTTTCCTCTTCTTCTTCTTCTTCCGTTTAAGACGTTAACGACCCTCCTCGGTGTGCCGTCATCGCGCGGTAGGTATTCTCTCGGGCACGGTTCGCGCACACTACCTCGTCGGTAGCATCGCGCGAGGATCCGCCGTCGCTCGGCTCGTCATACGCGAGGGAAGGAGAGCGGGGGAGAGGGGGAGGGGGAGGGTTAAAAAGGCTTTACGGTCCTACGGATCACCTCGTTTCGTTTCGTTTCGTTTCGACGTCGTCGCGACGAATGCAATAACGTAAATGCAAACGGCGCGCGATACGATAGGCCTCTCTCGGCGCGAAAAGGCAAAGTCTCTCTCTCTCTCTCTCTCTCGTTACGCGAACAATTCCAATATGTAATCCACGCCGCACGAACGGCGACCGCACACTGCGGACCTCACCTTACCCCACTTCACACCCCTCCCTACGACCGATGCTCCACCACCTACTTCGCTCCGTTCTTCCTCACTTCCTCTCTCTCTCTCTCTCGCTCGCGCTCTCTCTCTCTCCTTTCCTCTCGTCGCGCTCCCTCCACCGCCGGACGATCGTCGCCGCGTCGAGCCGATAGATCGCTCCTCTCGACCGCGTTTGCGACCGCACTTTTCGCGCACACAGAAAGCAGAAAGCGAGACGACCGTACGTTCGCTCGCTGCGACGGAGAGAGACGGGCGCGAGGCGGCGAGCGAACGGGTGCAGAGGATGCGGAATGAAGTGCAGATGCGCGCTCCCGCACGGCGCCGTCGTCGCAATGTCGCGGAGCACGCCCGCGCCGTTTCCCGGCGAAATTTCGCGAGCGGACGCGAAGCGTGAATCGCACCCGCCCGGAGTCGCAGGCCGCGTCGGGTGTGCGCGGCTTCGCGTAATCGCGTTCACCTTCGCGCGACACAATTCGCACACCGAATAATATCGAGCACCATCCGCGGATGCCGCACACGCTCGGCGTCGCTTCGGAAATTCAAACTGCTCCCCCTGGCGCGCCGCGTTGGCGGCTGGCGGCGCACGGCGGCGCTCGCGTCGCGATTGGCCGTTGTCATGGCGACCAACGTAAACATCTGAGCTCAGTGGCCCCGCCATTTTTCCCGGCTAAAACGGCAGCTGATTGATGGCCACCCTGGCGGTTGGCCGTTTCTCACGCGCGTGTACGAAATATATAATTCCCACTTTGATTTTAGCCCGTTCGTCGAGTTAAATAGATTTCGTGTCACGCGATTCGAACGTGTGCGTCGTTTCCACGGAAAGGAGAAGTAAAAGTCGGATGAATTAGTGTAGCTGCTTGTTAGTGCCATTTGTGTAACAATGCTGAATTTACCGTTTCCCCTTTCTCTTATTTGTTATTATAAATATGACATAATTTATTGCATTCAAATACGATGTCGAAATCGAATCTAATATCGTTCGATGTGACGTGACAGGTGACGTCGGTTTAACATCGCTAAAATTAATTCATAATACATTTTCATGTAGCGAACGGTCGTTATGACTGAAAAAAAATTTTCACGCAAGGAGGTTTAAATTAGAATTATAGATTTCTCGCTTGAGACTTTAGTTAAACCATTCTATTACCTACTACTCGTGGAGTCGATCTTCCGACCAAAGATATAGGTTACGTGCGCCACGCGGCGAGGTTAAAGTCAAAAGAATATTTCGGGCCACGTTTGAAGTACCAAGTATCGTCTCGCTTACGCAATAACATATTTACCGAACTAATCGGGAAACGCGGTTTCGTATTTCGCCTGTCATTACTTAATTGTAACATTGTTTTGTGTGCAGGTTAGGCGTACAGGTTAGGTCGCGACGGCGACGACTGACAGAAGACTGGGGCAGGAAAGATGCTCAAGATACTGTCGCTTCACGACTTCGAGGGCCCGGTCTTCGGCGACACGGCCGCGGTCGGCCTGATCGAGGGCGTCATCCACTACTGCACGTACGACGCGCTGCAGGACGAGATGCAACCGTTCGCCAAGTACCTGCGCGGCTATCCCGAGGTTTCCGTCACTCAGGAGATCCTCGCGACTCGCGAGACCGCGCGCGCGATCAGCGCCGGCGAATTGTTCCTCCCCGTTCACGACAGCGTCTTCAAGAAGATCGCCAACGTGTGGAGAGAGAGAGGCTTGTCGGATGCGATCCGTTTCGCCGCGGCTGCGAATCCGGAACAGATCACGAATGTCGCGCATTGGATCGCGACGAGGTACGGTATTTCTGTATCTTCGTCCGTTTTTCTAGTGAACTTAATACATCCCTTTGTGTTGTCGACATAAATAGAGAAATGTATAAAAAAATAATGATTATTTCAGACTAAATTGGATATTGGATTTGATGGACAGAGGAATATATCACAGGGACGTGGTGCCGACGTTGGGAAACGGGTCTGTTGCCGATATTGTCGCTACACGGGATTGGCATACATCGCTGGTAGGATTATTTAGCATTGGAAATATACAGACATGTTTGAAGATGTTTATAAATGTTTTACGACAGGTAAGATGTCTGTCCTGGCATCCACACTGCGCTCGCCTGGCCGTGGCTATGAGAGACGACAGAATTCGTATTTTTTCGCAAGGTCTACTGGGTGTACCGGTGTTGAGGCACAGCGCGCAAAAGTCGGTTAGCTGTTTGAGCTGGAGGCCGCATGCCGGTCGGGAATTAGCAGCGGCTTGTTACTCCGGAGTATTAATTTGGACGATTGAGCTGGGTGCGGCCAGTAATTTGCTTAGCCACGCGATACTTTTGAAACAGAGAAATCACGTGCCCGTTACAAGCGTCACATGGCATCCACAAGTAATCTATCCCTTTATTTCCGTTGACACTTAATTAAACGTAACAGGAATTATAGTCCACAGACACAGTTATTATAAAAGTGTTTTTTTTTTCTCCTAGGGTGATTTATTGGCATCTTGCTCACCGACGGATTTAAATATAATAATCTGGAATGTTTCCAAAGAGGAAGGAATACCTCTGAAACGTTTAGGTGGAGGTGGTATATGCTTTACTCGTTGGTCGGACTGTGGCTTGCGATTATTATCTGCTTCATGCAGAAATATTTTCAGGTAACGTATTTAAATCCAATACATATTTTTTTTAAGCAATAGCAAACCCAATTAGAATATGCAGTTAAAGAAACAGAGATTTAATTTTAGAGTTTGGAATACCGGCGTTCCGACGCCGTGGCGCGCAGAAAGGTGGACTGTACCCCAGGGACGTGTAGCGACTGCATGCTTTGGTCCCAATTTAACATTACTCTTCGCTACCACCGGAGATCCTGCTACGATATTCTCACTGCCGTTGCAAGATAATATATTTGATGTTAAAAAGGCATCCAATAACGATGTAAAGATAGCTATGCGTCTAATTGATTTAACGAAAGTAAACTTCTCATCGGATGATAATGATGATTACATCACGGTTGGAGGTAGAATAGTTTCCATGGAATGGGATCCAACAGGAAAATATCTTGCCATTCTCTTCCAGGTTTGTGAAAAGAAATATATCGGTTTAGCTGCTTGTGCGTTTAACTGTACTCTTTTATGCACTTTTGGTTTATCAAGTAAAAAATGTAGATATAAAATTTTGAAAGAAAGAAACAAGTCGTAGAATATCTCGTGTGTTAATTCGTTTCTTCTTCTTGACAACAGGACAGTCCAGTTATTGCTCTGGTGAAAACAAACTTGAGCCGTTTATCGCGAGTTGTAGAAGCGCAGCCGAGCTGCCTTATCAAGGGATTTCCCGGTGAAGTACCGAACTGCGTTAACTTCTATCAAAAACATTCGACGTGGATTTGTTTAACAATCGCTTGGAGCAGCGGACGAGTGCAGCACTTCCCGATAGTCGAAAGTGAATCTAAGATCGACACCAGCACACATTCCGCGCTAACATTACCGCAAACTGTGAGGCCAAGCGGATTGTACAGCTTTGACGTCTGCGGTTACAAGCAATATTAAGGTATTTATAATACCGACGAGATAATACCGACAGTTTTGTACAATTTTTCTATCTCCATTTATATATATGATAGTATAACAATGAAAGAAAGGTTTAATAAACTCATCTGCAAGTAAATCGCTTATTGGTGATTAAACATGATCGATTATTCACCTTTCAGGAAGTATATATAAGAATCTCCTCTTTGGATGAATGTGTGTGTATGCGTACATGTGCGGGCGGAGCTTATGTAATTCTCGTTTGGGAGAGACGTTTATATACCCCTTCGTCGTCTTCGAGAGGGAGAGAAAAGAGAAAAAAACGGGCGTTCCATCGTTAGACCTCTCTAATGGACTGCGCTTGTAACGTATGGAGGAGCATAGGACACAAAACGCCGTTCTCTTTGGTGCCTAATTATACGAAGTCACATGCAGAGCGCGCGTCTTTCTATTTTTACGTCGCTTGACCGAATGCTAAACGGTCTGTCGGGCACGTTATGTACGTACCGTACGTGTCGCGCGGCCCACGCTATTTTCAATACTCCGCATGTGTTGGTCGCGTGGATGATCGAACGTGTCTCGAGTATCGGATCGATTTAAATTTGAACAATTTTTTTTTTCTTCGTTTTACTTTTTCTTCTAAAGGAAAATGAGGAGAGCTGATTTCACGTTGTGAAATTGAGTCGTCAAATTTTAAGAATTTTATTTGGATGGAAAATAACTGGCATCGTTAATATATCGCGAATCGTCGATATTATCTAAAAAAAAAACATCTTGGCTTTTTCGCGCATTTTCGTGATTATTTATTCCTATCACTCCCGATACGATCGCTCGCTCGGAGATTTACGCGTGCGGGACGGACGAGCGTTTTTGTGCGGGGCGCGATTAAACGCGCTCGAGATGACTTTTCTCTTCTTTTTCCACTCGTTTCGCTGTTATTGCATCCGTATGGAGGGATGAGAACATGATCGGTGTCCTTTTTATGGTATATTTATTTTGAGGGCGGTCTCTCTCTCTCTCTCTCTCTCTCTCTTATCCTCCCTTTCTCTCGTTTTCTCTCCGCGTATGCACATGCGGCGACTATGGTACGAGCGAAGCTGACAGGTGCCTGAGCAAAAAAGCCAGGACCGCGAGCAGTCGTAGATGTGCATGTAATGTAAGCACAGAGGGCTGGCAGACCACATGTGCCACTCTATCACTTATCTACTTGTAATACGACGTACCAACTCGCTGGTGCAGAGAGATGCATCATGATACGACATGCACGTATGCATATCGTGTCGCGTCACGCGCTCGTAATTTTCCGCGTAAGGGAGAAGCGCCGAGATGAACCGCGGAACACTCCGAATTCCGTCCACGTATTATACATTATACAGAGAAATACTGAGATACAAAAAAAAAAAACGTATTGTAATACACGTAGAAGAGAGATGTGAAATTTGGTGGAAAAGTATAAAACGAAAATGCTCCACCTGATTGTATACTAAAAATAGAATTTCTTTCTCTTAGGATCTTAAGAATTTCACACTTAGCTCTAGTGTCATCGTCTGCTAATTGAGAGGTCATCTAACTGAGAGGTCATCGCCCTATGTGTGTCGTAAGAACAGCGAAAGCGACCCTCGGGGATGTTTTCTTAAGGACACAGGATCGGTATCTCGAATTGTAACGCGAGAGGAAGGAACGGCGAGGGCGATCTCGGAGATGATTCCGGCTTTCGAGGATTCTTCGAGGCGCGATATTGTCCCTCGCGGAAATTGTAAGGAGTTGAGACGATCGCGACGAGGTGAGAAGAATAGCGGAGCGAGGGTGGGCCTGTAAGATGGGAGAGAGGGGTGAACGACTTGTCTCCTCATGTGGCGCGCCCATGGAAGCATGTTGTTAATATATAAATGACGCGTGTGTGGCAGCTGGTCTTAACAATTTTTTGCCCCCGCACCCGATTCTTAGGAGCTCGAGCGACGAAAGATCGTCTCGGGCTCGCTCTCTCCCTCTTCCATTCTTTCCCTCCTCCGTTTCCCTCTCGCTCGTACGATTTACATACGTACGCGTCTTGGATACTTTTTCAAACAATTTTCGACGCGATGAATCACGTGTATCAGTTTGGACGCTGGCAGCGCACGATCGAAAATTATGTCGACGTTAAAACCGTTGCGATGCTTTTTGTATATACTCTTTTATATTTTTTTCCTTCGAATATCCTTCATGTTAAACAGCGCGTGAAATTATAAATAGAATTCTACTCCGAATTCTAATATAATACATCGCTTAAAAAAGTGTTAACAATAGTAAATTTTGTAATTTTATCAGTAATTTAATCAACAAGGATAATAATTTTATTTTACATAGATAATATAAATATGGTTTTGGCATTAAAATGTCAATATTAGTCTACTTTACATATTAGAGACTTCACGAAGTGTTTTATTCGCGAAAGCATCATTGAGTCCACTTAATTTCGATCAGGTTTCAAAATAAGACAAATAAGTATAGATCGAATTCTCTTAATGATTCTATTCGCTATGCGTTTTGACATACGTATGCATTTCAATATCTTTTTTTTATTATATACAATTGTGCATCTTATTTTTCCAATGCCCTTCGTATTACGCAGTGTAAAATCGTATGCGAAATCCTGAAATCTAGTGCGAATTACAGATCGTCCAAAGACGTCGACCCTGGACCAGTCGTGGGGGGCGATCTCATGAATGGTGTTCGCGCGTGGAAGGAAGGATCGTCGGCGGCGCGGGGTCGGCGAACGCGCGTATCTACGCGCCTCGGCAGATGTTCTAAGTCGCAGCCTCGACACCCTCGGGGGTCGCCGCGAAGGGAAAGCCGCGTACCCCTGCGACAAGTGCAGCGGCGGCGGTTGCGGCCGTGTACCACGAAGGAGCACGGCGAAGAGGGGACGCGGTGCAGAGCCACGCGAGTGGGCGGCGCGATGTTCCCTTCTCGCGCCCTTGCGCCCTCCGCTTTCCAAGAAGAGGAGCACAATCCCGAAGGGCCTGCACGCTCTTCGTTAGAGGAGGAGGAGGAGGAGGTGGAGGGTGGGAGATCCCTTGATCCTCTCTCGGCTCTCTACGAGAGATTTCCTCCGACGGAGGATCTTTCGAATACGTCTCGCAGCTGATAGTCTTCGACGAGACGCGTTAACGGGTGGTGTAAAAGCCCGCCCGACCCCGATTCTTCCGATCTTTATCAGTTTCCGTGAGAAGAAACCGGCCGCTGTCCTTGTCCGTTCTTCGCTTCGCTCCGACGACTCTTGTCTTCCTCGCGATCGTTATCGCGCGCGTGCCACGCGAGGAAGGCAGATAAACAGATACAGAGAGAGAGAAAGAGAGGAAGAGTGGGAGAGAAAAAGAGAGGACTACGGAGCGGAAAAGACCGATGGCGATAAGCGACCCGCCGATCATCGTGTACATGTTGATACGTTGATATCGAAGTAAGAGCTTCTCTGACGTTATTCTCTCGAATTTCGTTCTGTCTCCCCGACTCCCTGGAGGAAAGTGAGGCACAATCGGACGTCTTTCTGTTCCGCGCGACAACGCGATATAATTTAACGGGACGCGTGAGATTAATAAATAGCGATATTTGCGCGAAAGAGCTGGTGGTGACTTCGACAGGTTTTCTTAACAGGACAAAAGATCTCATTGTTGTGCTTCTGTACGATCGCGCCTCATTTCCCTCCGGTGATCGCATCGGATTAGAGGGTGGTTCGCCTCGAGAGAGAAAGAGAGGGAGAGTTTACTTTATAGAGATCGCAATTGAAACAGGCAGGTGAGACGTTGCTTTAATTGACTTGTGCGGCTTACGATCGCAAGAGGCGTTTCTCGCATCGATAGACGTTAGATGATCGCGCGACTCAATCGTGACTTTCCAAGCAGAACACAAATCATCATGGCATCAAAATGATTTCGAAATGGCTCCAAAATGATTATTAAAAGTCACTTGAGTCATGATTTAAACGTCATTTTGAAATGTTATCGTGATCTATTGTTCTGCTTGAATTTAGAGATTTAACGTACAAGCTATATGTAAGTACTCGAAATTCCATTTAACTGTGAATTTAGACAAAGCAGATTTTATCTGGGCAGAGATATTTTTTTTCTTAGAGCCCTGTATCTCTATAAGCGAGCACGTATGTTTAATTATTATCCGATACACTAATAAAAATCACAATCGGAATTGTATACGATACGCTCTATCACTATTAATTATTTTTCGCTTTGTCACTATTAAATCACGATCGGGAATTATATAATTTATGATTGATTATCAAAGCTAGATTGTGACGTGCGGGAAAAGAGTCGTGTGCCTGTTTGCTTCGCAGATGTGAGTCGGACGAATTTTTCGACAAGATCCACCAATTGAAAGGGTAACTGAATAATGGAGAACACACACCGACGCACTCCGGTGGCGCCCGGCCACTTGACAATCCGCCGCGAACATTGTCGGCGGCGATCGTCGTGAATTAATTCACGTCATTAATCCATTATTGTCATCGTTATCCGTCGATGGTCCCGGAGGCTCTGTGGCCGCCGTTATCAGTGGCGTCTCACAAGAGCTCGGGCGATAATGGTCGGTCGGGCGCAAAGTGCACGGTTATTCGGATAAGGCCACTGAAAAGAGCGCGCCTCGCGGCTCGGCTTTCTCAATCTCGATCCGCGCGACGTTACAAAATCGGGCGGTTTCGCAATTCGGATCGGCGTGTTGCGACGACTAACATATCGCTATGATTGACGACAGGCTGCCGGCGGCGACGAGCTCGGATCGACGAGGAGGACGACGACGACGACGGCGGAGGCGGAAGAAGAGGCGGAGGCGGAGAGACGGTGGAGATGCACCTCGAGGACTACCAGCACGGCGAGAGGAGCGAGGAGGACGACGTGCGACGGCCCGTGTCCGTTCTGGAGCGAGACGACTTCGTCGACGACGGTTCCCTGCCCGACCTCATGTCCATGGCGATGACCGGCATGGACGTCGTCCAGCCGTACTGCTGGACGGACAACAGCGCGCTCTTCTCCCCGCTGGAGATCGGCACGGATCCGCGGGACTATCTCGACTGGGACCAGATGCCCGTTGTCTTTCAGTATCCCACCAACGGCGGTGGATCGCCGGGCGGTAGCACCTGCAGCGATCAGGCGATCACTCCGACTTGGAGCAACGCGGTGGGTACAGCGACGACGACGACGACGACGACGACGGATCATGGCGAGGATAAGTCGAATCGAAAGTTACCGTCGATGGGCTCGGCCTTCTCCTTCTCGCGCGCCTTCAGCAACACGATTTATCCGGAGTACGCGGCGGAGTCACCGGGCGATTATCAAGATTATCCGGACTGCCAAGAGGACGTGGTGTCGCTGTTGATGAGCATCCAGAACGACGTTCAGAGCTACAGTCCCACGGTCGCCGACGAGTTTGACCTCAGTCTGATCCGGGGCGACCCGACGTCGTTGCTAAGCACGGCGGACTCGTCGTCGTCGCCGACGGCCTGCCCTCTCCCGACCGGCGACGACCAGCAGGAACCGGCATTCCAGAGCTTCAATCCGCCGTACTACCCGGTCGGGCATCTCGTTTCCTCCCAGCAACAGTCGTCGACGGTCAACCTGATGGCCGGTGAGCTCGTCGGCGCGACGGACGGTTTCGGCAATCAGGTGATACTGCCGCGGAACGAGGGCCTGCTACTCGGAAACAACAATCGATGTGTCGCCGGGTCGAAGGTCGTCGAAACCGAGAAGAACGACAAATTGTATGGTAAGTGGCCCTCATTTATTTGAGAGAAATCGAGTCTTTCACGCTTTCATTTTCAGGATATTTATTCGCGAGTTCTGTCAGATTAATAAAGCGGCGTGTTAAAACGAAAATTCGGTATATTTCCATTTTTAGCATGTCGGACCGAAAGCTCCGAATATTTCCGGCATCCGCGAGCGAAAGCGATACATTTCTGACATTTTTAGCGCCGTCGGACATCGCCGCGCGATCATACGCACGATCATCCGAATACATGTGGCAATCTTGGCGCGCACGCAATTTCTGCTCCAGTTGCGCGTGTTTACGTTTCGCGTGCGTACGTCATGTTGCAGATTGCGCGAGACGACCGGTGGACGATAGCCTCGCGTCGGCTTATCAGTGCCGCTGGATCGACTGCGGATGTGCGTTCGCGGAGCAGGAGGGCCTGGTGCGGCACATCGAGAGGCGGCACGTGGAGTCGTCCTCGGCGAACGCGCACGGCAGACGGGTCCAACGGGACCGGGACAAGGAGCGAGATGGCAAGGAAGCGGCGGACGGCTTACCCGGGGCGGCCACGACGACGGCGACGAGTCGCGAGGATGAGTTCGCCTGCCTCTGGCAAGGATGTCCGCGCGCGCGGCCGTTCAACGCGCGATACAAACTGCTGATCCACATGCGGGTGCACACGCAGGAAAAGCCGAATAAATGTCCGGTTAGTGTCCTTGTCCTTGGTGTTTCCTGTTGGCGATTTTAGTTTGAACTTTAACATGACACTATAAGTACCAATACTGTACATTGTTTTGCGATCCCTTAAGCGTCACGTGCCCTTCTCTTTCTTTTTATTATTTTACCGTTTTGTTAAGTCATATATACATGTATATATATGTAATACTAAAGAAAAGAGATATCTTTAATGATAAATTGACGTCACCATTAAATCTTTAATCAATTTATTTTCTAGAATTAATTTCATATGTACCATACATTCTATACAAGCTTCGTTTTCTAATTATCTGTCAGCGAAACGTTAATTTCTTACGGTTGATTTTTGTTTCAGTTCGCCGGTTGTAAAAAGGCTTTTAGTCGTTTGGAAAACTTAAAGATACACCAGAGATCGCATACAGGCGAAAGGCCTTACGCGTGTCAACACAATGGATGCTCAAAGGCATTTAGCAACAGCAGCGATCGGGCCAAGCATCAAAGGACTCATTATGATAGAGTACGATATCTTACTTCTCATGCATAATAAATTCTCACTTTAATAAATAGCAATTTAAAAATTTTCTCTAACATTTCTCTTTAATAGCTAATCTTATTGATTTAATATAATCTTGAAAAATTGTATATAATATAAATTGTTACAACTTATTCGATATGCTAAAAAATTAATATAAGCTTCATAGTAGAAATATTTGTATTATAAAGCTTTACAGTGTAAATTTTGTATCGTTCAATTATCTTTTTTGGCAAGAAAATAATTTTAATAGTGACATTACCTTGTTTTTCCAGAAACCATACGCTTGCCAGGTAAGTGGCTGCGGTAAACGTTACACGGATCCGTCGAGTCTCAGAAAGCATCTGAAGAATCACACGGAGAATTCGAGTACGCTGTCCAATCTGTTATCGTCGAATAAAGTATCAACGACCAATGTGACAGCCGTTGCGGTAGGACACAAGTTAAACTCGACGATTCCTCACCGAAGGGGCCAAGACACGTGCATCTACGACGTGGAAATGAATAATTCATCGTACAAATTATCTAAAACTTACATCAAAGAGGAGAACACGTTGCCGGACAATACGTGCCAGCTGAATAGAATATCATTTAATTTCGAAAGCAATCAACAGGAATACGTGCCGATCGAAACGATTCGTCATCTTCTAATCAACGACATCACCAACGCGCAGAACGACAATACAGGTAATGGATGTATTCAATCTATCTAATCATTAGTGCTATAAATTTGCCAAGTCTTCAGCATCATGAAGTTTATACATGATTTGTCAGAAAAAATTTGAAAAACTTTTATAAAGAATTTTAATAAGTAAATACTGTGATTAGAATGATTTCAATTATTTTATTTCTTTATTATAACATTCTATGTATCTTATTAACATATGTAGTTAAATGTTTCTCTTAAGAGAATCTTCAAAATTATCAAATTTTTAGAACTTTAATAAGTATATACTGAGAGTAGAATCATTCTAATTATTTTATTTCTTTATTATTTTATTGACATTTTATTATTTCTTACTAGTAGTCACAAAACATTTTTTAAAGAGAATTTTCTATAGACTTCATATTAATTGTATTACATCTTTTCGAGTCGGTCGTGCTCATTGTACCTATTTATACTTATCAGTATCATATGGCTTTAATTCTCTCAGCATGATTTATAGTCTATTTAGTCGGCATTTTCGATACAGGAAAATCTGGCCGAAATGCGATAAGAGTGTTGCTACTTGTTTCGAGTATGCTTACATTACAGTTTTTACATATGCGTGCAAGAGAGTACCGAAGAAGATACAGCATGACCTTTAGCTTTCAATTGGCAATAGTGTAAGACCTTGTTTTTAAGTCTATGAGATTTATTATAGCTTCTCTTCGCGAAAATAGTACTTGCGAAATAGATCGATGTCATGGAACTATTTGGTAAATCAGAATCGATTCTCGGTAAATAAAGAGGCAATGTATTCCGAGAAATCATCACGTTTTTATCACTATTTTCCTGTTTCGTATTTTCTGTAACATATGCGTTTTTATAAACTCGCTAATTATTTCCCGAAAAACTATACGGTGGCATCTTCCGCAAATATATTTCATGTGACGCGGATGCTATTGTTTCATCGATTCTCTCTCCAAGTTTTTCAGTTCTACTATATCTCTCGAGATAGTGCGTATAATTCATTAACCATCAGATCGTGCGTGCATGTCGTGCGTGAATCTCGCGGGCGCGTGCTGGCTTTTTCTGTCGCGGCGACAGCTCGCGCATCGCGCCCGGTTGTCTATAGCTGATCTCAGAGGAGGTTCGCCGCCCGCTCCTTTATGCCTTTACCCCATACCGAGTCTTAAAATAATATTCTTTACTTTTTTGAGGAGGTGGGGCGGGCGCGTACGGCGCGACGCGACGCGACGCGACGCGGCGTACGCGCCGCGTACAGCGAGAACGCGCGGACGGGCGCGGGCGCGTACGCGTGACAAAACAGATGACAAAACAGATTGCCACGTGCCACGCACCCGTGCTATTTCCGAAGGAGAGGCCCTCGCGTAATTTCGTGAAAGTGTATATAAAAACGTGCGCGCGAGATCAGACGCGTGAGAGAAAAAGAGAGCGAGAGAAAGCGAAAGAGTGCGCAGATCAGAGATGGTGAGAAATGCGAGAGAGCAAAAAAAAAATGCGTGACCGAATTATACTTGTTGTGCAGGATACTGTGTGCCAGCGGAGGACGACGTGCCGGATTTCCACGAGCTCGGCGCCGACATAATCGAGCGACAGTTCCACGAGCTGAGCGGCCTGAACGACGCTATTTTCATCGACGGATGAGGCCTCCTCGGCCAGAAGAGAGTCTCTTCCCTGACGAAGAGGCGAAAACAGGACGCGACGCGTTGGTGAATGAAACAAGAGCGTCTCGCGATTTGATTTGTAAGATTCGCGTTTTCGAAGCAGCTCCGAACACATTCGCTTTAATTCGCGGCTACGTAATTAATCGATGCTACGGCGATGATAAGTACTTCGATATTTCTTTCGAAAAGAATTAATCACGTTGCTCTCTTTATATAATTTACGCGTTTTTTTTTCTCAGGGGAAAAGGATGATTCGCCGATTCATTCATCGACGCGCTCATCCTGACGTCGCGATCTCACTGTCTTTCGTTTCTCTCTTTTTACAACTCACTTTTATACTCATTAATTAGTCCGTTGTATTTGACAAATCGTATATATTTTTGTATATAGGTACTTATGTATATTATAGGCGTAAGGCGACAAAACAATTAAAAAACATCATTGTATTTCGACCGAGCGTTTATCTGTTCCCCCGCACCTTCAACGCGCGACACTCGGCCCTATTTCTTCTCGCCTTTAATTCTCGCTGCTGCAGATGCTCGGTTTCTCCTGCGCCGTCAAATGCCGACAGATGAGCTTGGGGAAGTCGCTCAACGCCTCATCCTGATTTTCCTTCGAGTACACCTGCAATACACGCGACAATCGTAATTACATATATTGGATAATTCAGAACCGCTGGTTTACGTTCATTTTTATCAATGTAGATTAATTTCAATCTCGATTTAATTTACTCTTCTTCGAATTCTTAGAATGAGAAAAAAATAAAAAAAAAGTTAAATTAAGATTACAGTTTATCTACATTGATAGAAACGGGCATTAACCATGCCATTGCACACTAACGGATTAATGAGATTTTGCTCGCTTACCCCGTTGATCACTATTGACGGCACGAATCTCAAGGGTGACTGGAAAGCTGCCGTTTTGTCGCCGTTCGCCGCGAGCAGTTCGTCCCCTAACGGGCTCGCGATGCATGCGTCGATCGAGTCCCGCGTTTCTTGGCGCAGGCCAAGGTCTTTAGCGACCTAAAATTCAGTCGTCGCATTATTACAGTATTATTCACGTAATAAGTCTTTTATTACGTTATTATCTTAATCCGATGACCGTATTTATCAGCGAGGAATTTTTACATCGTATATATATACTCTTGCCGTTTCACCGCAAAACGTGATGCGACGTGGAAATATAACGGAACGAGTCAGCAATGTTATCTTATACACTGGCAGATATTATATTAAATGTCACGTTACGTTATCGAGAATCAGCGTATCATCTACGGAAATCGGTTCGAGTAACTAGCTGAATTTACTTTCCCTTCTCACGTTTATCGCTTGATTTTTGTACGCATGGAAAAAAACAAACGTTCCCGAACGATTTACAACTCCAGTAACGAATTTATTCGAAACATTGAAATGTTCGAAGTGCGCGCTATCAGCATTATTATATGTTTTTATTTTTCAATTTTTCTATTTTAAGTATAGGATGTAAAACAGAGATAAAATAACGCGATAGCGCCGACCTGAGTGCAAGCCGAATTGTAAGTTAAATTTTTATGACAAATTTCCCCGTTTCGCGAAGCGAAAAAAATATATATCTTATCATTATATAATTAATTCAGCTGCATCTCGAACTCGATATTTTATTCAAACCAAAACATCTTTTATCTCAATCTTCGGAAGTGCAGCGCTCGCTATTCAAAATTAAAAACGGATGCGCAGCCTCGATGAGTGACGTCAAAGAGACACACCGCGCGCGCTTTCCGCGACGTCGCCGCGCGCTATCGCGCCAATTCAATGGGAAAGTATGCCAAAAGGTCGATGTTACGCAATAAATGTCGACTCTTACTCTCATCGGATGCAAGTCCTACGGAGATTAATTATACACGTTACGTTCGGTAAAAGCCAATCACGTTCGCCGCGCCGCGCCGTTGCGTGGCAATCACACACGGCGCGGCGCGACGCGGTGACCGCGTCGGCTAATCGTCGCGGGAAATTACGGAGGCGAAGCTACCTGCGGAATGACGACCGACGATCCAGCGGACATTGCAACACCGACCAGATTGACCGTCAGCGGCTGTTGATCCTCGGCCGCCTCGGAGGACCGTATGGAGTGAATCGCGCAAGCCTGGGCCTTATTCCCACGGCACTCGGCGGGCCCGTGCTGACATGAGAACTGCCACGGACCGGTTTCGCCTCGGGTTTTGCTTTCGCGCGTGTGCTGTAGACATACATATATATATATACACCGTCAATTTGCATTTAAATTGTTAAAAACAACAGCGTTTTCCTCGTGGTCGACGTGAACGAGAGTGACCGGAGGAGGTCACTACAGCGAGGGCGATTATCGTTCTGCGTTTTCAAGGTCACGTGATCTTCGGGCGAATTCCTCGCGCGTTGATCCGATCTCACTATAGTGTCTGGACGCGAGATGAATAATTAATACAAAAGTCAATAAACAAATCAATAGATGCGAGTATCAAGAGTATCGTTAATGAACTTACAGTCATATATCGCATCGTAGAAATTAATAGATGAATTGTCCATGAGATTACCATCCCCTCATTGTCATCTCGTTATCGTCGCCTTATCGAGACGATAAAATCACAGAGAGACGCAATTATGAAATAACTTACCGTAGCTTTACCGTAAGGAATCAATGTGATATTGATATGTCGCTTCAATAACGGATACGACGGCTCGAGCTGATTTGTGAAAAATCGCATGCTATCACCGCATAACGACTCGTAATAAACGTCTACGTTGACGATATCTTTGTCCGATTCATTCTGGGCTGACTGCGCATTGGACTTAAACAGATTTATAACATTAAAATTATATATATATAGGCGACGAACTGCTTCATTATCATTATTTCATTCTTTCTTTAATTCTTTTTTTTTTAATTAAAAAAACCTAATTAAGAAAAATTGATAGGAACTTCTTGTCGACAGAATTTGCATGCAATAAATGAAAACGAAAACGGAGAAAGCGATTTAAATATTTCTAAATTTTATTCTAGTCTTTTTTCTTTCAATCAACATATTAAATATCCTAAAATTAAATAATTCGATTAATTAATTTTCTAATTGAAATAAAAATAAAAATACAGTGTACAGTATTTTTTTACATTTCTACATCAGAATGGACATGTAAAGTATAAAATCATTTGAAATCATGTTTAATTAACACAAAGAGCACACACACAGAGTCTAAGACATGCTCCAATGTGTATATGAAGTAGGTTATAAAACAATAATAGTAAATAAACGTTTCGACTTTTATCAAATCATTTTCAATGTTCGCATAATTTAAATAAAACGCATTAAATTAAATAATATGGCTAAACGTCAGTTGAGTTTTAAAATGTGAAATTACTTCTATAAATTATAAATTACTAAATACAAATTTCGGATTAATTTATAGAAGTAATTTAACATCATCTTAGAGCTCAACTAGCATTTAGATGTATTATTTAATTTAATACGTTTTATTTAAATTATGCGAACGTTGAAAATGACCTGATAAAAGATCGAAATGTTTATTATTTTAACATACTTCATAGATGTATATTTGAGCATTAAAGTTAGTTTAGGCTTATATTATATGCCATTATATTATACGTTTTTAATTTGTTAATTATTGAGCCTTAGATTTTGTATTAATTAAATATGATTTCAAATGATTTTATATTTTACATGTCCATCTTGATGTAGAAATATAAAAAAATACTATATACATTATATTTTTATTTCAATTAGATAATTAATTATATTTCAAATTATTTAATTTTGTTAGATTTAATGTTGAAAGAAAAAAAGATCAGAATAAAATTCAGAAATATTTAAATCGCTTTCTGCGTTTTCGTTTATTGCATATTTCTATCGAAAAAAAGTTCCCATTAGTTCTTCTTGATTGGGTTCTTTTTAAATATAAAAAAGAAAAATTGAAAAAAGAATAGAATAATGATAAAAAAAAAACGATCGTATTTAATGCTCAATTAAATTGTTCAGAATGTCAAGCGGAAATTACGAAAATATTCTAAATTATGAGTGTGACGTAAAAAATGATGTCTCAATTTTTATTACTGAAATCATTATCCTTTTGCGAATGCCAGAAATATTTGATGAAAATGAATACATTAATATTCATAAAGTGTTAAAAAGCTTTGAGATTCATGCTTACCAGAACGCCGTGAGAGACGAGCGCGAGAAAGACGGCGGCCGCCAGCCGGACGCGAGAGACCAACATGTAGTTTCGCATGGTCGTACTGTTGATGAGTGAGTCGCAGGGAAGGCGTTTTAAAACCTGCTGCGGACAATAGTTCGACGCCAGTGGACACGAGAGAGGGAGATACGAAAAGTCTCGCGCGGTGGGGAGTTGAACAAGAGAGAGTGAAACGATCAGACAATCGGTAACGGAGAGAGGGAGAGCCGCAACTCATCCTTGCGATAGTCGAGGACATCCAGCTAAATATTTTATCTGACGCTTGGACATCATAGATACGAGCAATCAGCTTGGCTTCAAACGATAAACGACAACTCGCTTCCAAACGCGAGTGTGAAGCCTGAAGGCTTTCCACAGCTGTGTGACATATGAGCTTCACTTTCTACCGGGCTTAGAATAGCAAGCTTGTGCCAAAACAATATATGTTTTATATAGCATCTAAATCTGAGACAAAGACATTCAGCATTTCATAAAATTGTTTTTTACATAAGTCTTTTTATCTTTCGTAATCTACGCGCACGCATATGCGCGATATGATGAATCATGTTAGCGATTCTTTAAATATTCATGAGTTCATTTTCACACACTCAATCCGCACAGGCGCGATTAAATGAGACGGTCGTATAAACAATTACATAATATATTTAGAATACAGAATAAGTTAACAATTCGCACTATGAATAAAATTAGATCGATGATGATCGAAAATAATGAATAATAAATTATCGATTATGAAGGATAATATAATTATTCATCTTCCATTCAATCTCATCTCTCTCTCTCTCTCTTTCTTCTATTCTATACATTTAACAAACTATATTAAAAATTATAAACGAGCTATGCAATTCATGATTCAGGCGCATAAGGCAGCGTGATCAGACACGTCAGCGTGATTAAACACGTAAAGTGAAAGGTTTGCATGGTCGAGGATATTTTTTCATTTCACAGAAATGTATAAACAAAAAAAAACAAAAAACGAATAAATCTCTTGATTTAACACGCACAATTGCGGAACCAAACGTTATGGATCTATACCTTGATGAAACTTCAATTCCGGCTGCATTTGTTTGAGCTCCTTGTACAAATCGGTTGCGCGTTTCTTAAAAGTCGCGGCGAGCTCGGAATTCTTCTGTGCGCCTTCTCCGCGGGCGTGCATCTGCGACACGTTCGCGCAAGCGTACGGATTGCCGAGCTCGCAGCTCTTCAACGACAGCTTGTACGCCTCCTTGTAGTTCCTCTCGATGACACTCTCTAATCCACTCAGATAGATGCCAGCCAGGTAGAAGCAGGCCTTGTGCGAGTTGTACATGTCGCAGGCCTTCCTCAGATACTTGGCACCCGCGTGAATCTGAGTGGCCCTGTCCTTTTCGCCGACGTCGTTCTTGGATGTTCCCAGGACACCGGCGTGCAGACACCCGGACTCGTCGTTGAGCTCGCAGCTCTTCGTCAAATACTTGTACGCCGTCGATATGTCTTTCCGGCAGCCTTTTCCTGTGTAAAGAGAAGAAAGCATATACTTAGTCGAACCTTTTTTTAATGGTAGAGGCTCACAGAGGCAAAGCATTAATCAAGTAGAATAATTAAACTCCAAGTGATATTTATATACTATTCTGTTTTAAATCTACGATCTTTCAAGAAGCACGATGATTCCTTCATCGACCAGATGGAATCTTAATATTGAAACAATCTCGAGAATTAATACTTGTTAATTATATTCATTAGCAGGATGGGATTTTAATATTACTTGAGATCAAGCTTGAGGCAATATTGAATACGGGCTATGAATAGCCCACCTCACATTTAAAATTATCTTCAATACGACTTGAGAAGCCAAATAATTTCTCTTTATTGGCTGAATGGAATTTTATTAAAGAACAATCTTGAAAGGTTGTATACGGTCAATTCTCTTGGCTACAAGATCGGAGTACTGTCCTTTGAATAATTCACGCTTCGAAGTTTGCGTTATTAAGGAACACTCCCGATATCTACCACCAGGTATCATAAATAACGTGGTGAGCGTCTGCTAGAGCTCCTGCAACCGCTGCTTCTCTAAGCGATGAACTCACCGACCACTTTGAAATCGCCGAATTTCGCGCAGCTCCTGGCGTAGTCGTACTGGTCGCAGGTCATCTTGAACAACGATGCGGCCTTCTCCATATCCGTGTTCACCGCCTCGTGATAGTCGCCCAGCATGTGGCACACTGTAACCCGGAGCAAAATGTTATTTTCTTTTTTTTTTTGGAGGTTATGTTCCCCGGTTGGGGAACTTGCGTGCCTTCAACCCAATCCTTAGGGTTCTATGGCACAGAGTTACTTATTCTATATAGTCCTTTACCCTCTTACTATATTATTCTTCCTATCTTCTTAACAAAAATGTTATTTTCATGAAACAGCGAGGTTAGGCCAAGCAGACTTCACTCACCCTCCGGCTTTTTCTCGCTGTAACAGCCGAATTGATACTCTATGTGAAGGTTTCTCAGATACTCCTTCACGTCCTCCTCGTTCTTCAAATCGTACGCCATCGTTTCGATCTTCTTATCCGATCGTATCGTACTCGCGATCGCTGCATCGCATTCCTCTTCTTTCTCGCTTCATGCTCTTCTTCAGCGCTGCCTGGAGCGCAACAGTGACAGCAGGTGGCAGTGTGGTCGCGAGTGAGCAAGTGTTTTGCTTCGATGCCGACGTTTTGCCGCCAAATCTCGCTTCATCAGCTTTCACCTTGCTCAGCCTTGCTGATCTAGTGATCTCGATCGGGAGAAAGGAGGCTATTTTATTTTGACAGCTTACGCGTATCACTTAGGCTCAGCGATTACGTTGGGCTAACACGTGTTTTCAAAATGACATGTACGTATAACTGTGTTTCACACCTGCACGCGGTTGAATCCTGCTTCGATCAGCCACATTTTTTTGTCTGGCCACATGTTTTGTTGAATTTTCCATATTTTAAATAAAACGAATTTATAATTTTAGATTCTTTTCTTTTATCAGAGAAAAAAAAGAGAAATGAAAGATTTACAAAATGCAATAAATCTTAGAATGTGCAACAGATGAGACTGTGTCGTGCAGGGTTAAGACAATTCCTTTGTTATATTTTAGTCCTGTCATAATTTATTTATGTTATTCTTTTCATTTTAGCGCTTGAAGTAAGGAATTGGACGCCGGAGTATTACGTCGCAAATCAGTCGAACTGCGAGCAGATTCTAGACGGTCCAGATGCACGGACGGATATACCCTTATTGAACGGCGCTCAATCGCATGATATCAAAGACAAAGAGTTGGTCAGATTTCGAGGGATGATTCAGGATATATACAATCCTGAGTATTATTTTAAGCAGTACGAGGTGAAGAACACGAACACTGGGGAGAGCGACGTTAGATGTGGAATGTACACGGATGCGGCTCGTTGCCTGGTAAATTATCTCTCTTCTCTTCGTCACACTTGACTTCTATTTATTTTTAGAGCTATTTTATGCGACTCTGTAAAGATATTGTGTTATCCCTGCCCCCTTTATGAGTAGTGGATATCAAGCAGAGTCAGAGATTGAAAATAATATGCAGTTCAGGTGTGAGACGCTTTGAGACTAGTGTATCTCATGTACAATACTGCATACATTACCATTGAGATGTAAGATCTGACGAATGTTTTTGTGCAGTGGCATTTTACTAATTTTTATCTTGGGCACAGCCGCACGAGGAAATTTTGATGTACTCCAAGAAGAATAAAAACGCCGAGAGACAAACTTATATTGTGATCTCTGTACCTGGACTAAATGACTGGGCGAGGGAAAGGAGCACGAGCACACGGACGCCTGATTCAACAACATGCAATAAGAGTATCAACAAAAGGAGCCTGGATCATGACAACTTGGAGGAAATGGACTGTTCGGAATCTACAACGGCGCACAATGACAGTATCGGTAAAAGGAATCTGGCTGATAACGTGGAGGAAATGGACTGTTCGGAACCTGTTACAAAAAAAGAGAAAGTCTCGGCGGATAACAACGATGCAAACACGAGCGGTGCTCATTGCAGTACGAAAGTTCAAAGTATGTTGTCGGAAGAGCACATATTGAATTTTCCGATCCCGATCGACGAAGGAAAAGCTTGCATAGTAAAGGTGAATTGTGCGAAATATTTTAAAAACACATTTGTGCACCTCTAATACGCATTTTTCCCAGTTGGTTGATCTTAATGCATTCTTTTCAGATTTACAATGACACTGTCTTAAAATTGAACCAGATTATCGATGTAATAGGATTTATATCGTTGGATCCAATATTAAGTACAATTCATGGTTCAGATGATGAAATGGACGAGGCAGAAATACGTACTCACAATCCACCGGCTTCCCTGGTACCCCGGTTACACGCAATAAAAGTGATTGAGCTTACAAAACCGCCAATTATAAATGCTCCGGAAATTATATCTAAAGCACAACTCATCAGAAGTGATTTGCACATAGTATTGAGTCAGTTGCTGTACGGAGACACTTTAGCTGCGGATTACTTGATATGTCATCTGCTTTCCACGATGTACGTATATTTTATTTCGATACTTTTGTGGAAATATATATATTTTATTTTGATACTTTTGTGGATATATATATATATATATATATATATATATATACATGTGCTATTTCACACGTTTTATGTAATGTATATTTTTTTAGATACGCGAGAAGAAACTTATTGTGCCTTGGTGCATTTCCGTTAAACATAACGAATTTCCCAGCGAGTGAACTCTCGGACCGTAAGCCTTTTCCGAAGGAATTTTATGACTTCTTGACGTTGTTCGTAAGGAAAAGCCATTATTTGGAGGTGACTTTGGAAAATCTGAACGAACTGGCTTTAATCCCGAAGTAAGTTCGTCTCACTGAATTGCACGTATTGTCAGCGAATAAATTCGCATTGCTTGTTCCTAGGAAGGATTACGAGTGCAACAGACTGACGAGCGGTATTCTCCAACTGAGCGATAACACGCACCTCGTACTAGACGAGACGGGATTAACCGCCGGCACGCTCACTGCAACCGGCAAGGACAATTGTAAAGCTCTCTCCGATCTGCTTATGTTTCAAAAACTGATGTACGACTTCAAATATTACACAATCGAATACCTAACGGACATTCCCATTCTAATCTTTTCGTATGTTTTATCGTTCGTATATGTAAGTATTTGCAGTATAGAAAATATATCACTTTCTCTGTGGATATTAGCAGTGATAAATGTTCATTTTACAGTGCCCTATGCAAATTGCTTTGAAAGTCGATGCAGAATCGAAAGAATTACACAGGGAGGTAGTTGATGCTGCGCATCAGTATTTGAAGGACGAGAATCGATTGGCGAATATTCGCCAGTACATAGAAGCCTTGAGGCACGCGGATTTTACTATTAACGAAGAAATTACAACAGTACGTCATATTTGTTTGATTTTCACTTCGACCCTGATATCTGTGTTTACTCAAGTTTATTTTAATAGTTTCTTTATGTATTTAATTATTTTATATTACCTCTTTAAATGTGTTTAGATTATTCAGAACGATTTTGTGGAGATTCGCAAAAGGCACAGTAATGTAAACGCGGACGATCTACACGCATTAATGGTTTTCGCCAGATTGATGTCCTTGTCTTACGGGAAAACTACGTTAGACAAAGAATTCTGGGAGAAAGCTGTACAGCTGGAAGATGAAAGAAGGAGCAGGCTGTCACTTCCGCAGCGCAACAGGTAATCGTTCGGGCCCCAGAATAAAATTACAATACCGAGTGTACATTATACGATACGAATACAATTTATTTTCTTGCACTTTTGTAATTCATTTATGTAAAAATTATATACTATTTTATAATATATACATTTTTATATTGTTAATTACTCTATAAAAGAGGACGGAAGTATAAGATTCAACTTGTATTTACATAGACAAAGATCACATAGTTATACTTTAGTAAATAAATTTTTACTAATATGTATAATGCATTTCAGAATGTTGTTTATCATGTACCTCGGCTATAATCCATTTCGTAAATTCTAAAGTTCGGACGTATGTCCTTCCTTTATTTGATCCGAAATGGAACTAGCGTATATAACAATCGTCTTTATATCCATTTCTTTGAAAATATTTCCTAATAGAAATGTTCCCAAAAATTGTATATTCTCTCCATGTGTTAAATGTGAGAAGATCGTGTGATCACATATAAGTGGTGCATGTATGTGCAGAAATCTATTGAACACTGGAAGCTCAAAGCGTTTGGAGTAACTCACGTATTTGTAGATTTATTTCTGCGGTAGATTCACGTCTGTATGGACGAATATTAAGATAAATACGTTTAATGATTCATGTAATAAATATATTTAATGATTCAGTTGTTCTTTAAATAACAATCTAACTTGTTGTCTTCTCTTTGAAGACTTATTAAGAAGAGCTCGTTGCTTTAAAAAAATCTGTTTTATCTATTCAATATATTTCAATACATACATCCTCAAAAATTAATAAACTTATTACTTCGCGCATACATTTTCCATGATTTAATAATTATATGTCGTCTGTTCCTACACTCGAATAGTCCATTGTAAATTATTTATGTCCGAAAATTAGAAAACAGCAAAATCCACTGTCACTCATATACTATCACTCAAAATATTGGAGTACAAAAAAATAGTCCTTATAAATTTTTGGGATAGTTTTCGTGATTCGAACATAAACAATTTTTCACATAGATTATTCGCTAATTCTTTACTTACTCCTTCCGATACTGTCAAAGTAAAAGTTATGTAAGAACGTTTAGAACTTTAAGTACAGTAAAGTCTGCATGGCAAAATCTCGGAAGTTACGTTATGTTTGAAAATATCTTATATTCTACTTATAACGCTTGCTCTTTTGCTACATTTATTATTTTCAACTGTTTTCCTTCTCCCCGATGTCTGAACACATTCTTATCTTTTATATGCTGCAGCTAGAAACCATATTTCCGTGACCATCATCTTATGCACGCGTGTGCCCCGTTTCGTCGAGGTACGCATCGTCAAGGACTCTCTCAACGGCGCTCATGTCTTTGGCCCTGCTGAGCCTTTCTTCGCGTTCCCTCTGGACACGTTCCAATCCCTTTCTGGCGGCTTGAGCGTACCTCTTGGAGAGCGCGACTTCTCCTCTCGCTCCCGGAATGTGGCCTGTATAACCGACGATCGGCGGTCTTTCTGGGGAGACATGATAATCTGCAACGATGACAATAATGCGTCCGTTTTTGTAACCTGATTAACTCCGCTTCGACTTTTCAATCAATATTATAACTAGGATATTTTTATTACGAAAACTTTTCAAGAAAATATTATCTATGTATTAAGTTTTTGAATGAATTTGTTAGTCTTTATTAGATATATCTATTTATTTTCTTTTTAACTTTATACTTTTTATCTTAATACTTGGAAATAACGATTAATGATTGCATTTGAGATAACGCGATGTTGTTGCATTGCTAGATTAAATAATAAGAGATGCGAGCACATACCGTAGGTCCTTCTGTCTTTGCCATGACCGTGATCGATTTCAATATCCACATTGTCTGCTCTCGCTCGGGATAGAAGATTTCTCGGATCTGTCCGCTCGGCATGAGCCCTCATCGCGTCTCGTTGCGCTCTCAGCTTCATTTGCGCCTCGTGCCACTCCTTCGCGCCGGCTTCCACGGCTCTCATGAAGGATAGGCCGAATCTGCTACTGAAGCCAGGAATGTATCCTGCGATGAATCAGAACAAACGTCAAATATAAATTTTCGTGGATGAGTGCATCGCATAAGACATGAAAAGCGTCACATCTAAATTTATTAGGATGAGAAAAAATAAAAAAATATTTCTTTTAAGTTAATCTTGTCAATTAATATGAATAATATATGTATGTTCAGTTAAAAATGTTAAAATATCAAAATGCGAATTTTATCGTGCTTCACATGATTTCTTATATAACTTTTGTACAAATTAAAATTTTATAACCAGCTTTTTATAGAGAGATTAATTTTATAGGATATTATCAAGCAATTACAACGTTGTTGATTCTAGAAGCAAAATTAATAAAAGAAAAATTATTCGAAATAAAAATAATTTTTTAATAAATGAAGAGAATAAAAATTTCTTAAATCCACTATACTATATTATATAATAATTTAATCGATTGCTTTTTTATATTGATAGTAAATATTACATGCAAAATAGTAATGCTATTATTTTATTGCAGCAATTATTTCTGTAATTGCGTATTTTTTTATAAACTCGATCATTCACAATTCTCGAAGTGCGTCGCGTTTTGAATTTTCCGCCTAATCAAATTTGCTTCATCTTCCTATTTCAGGCAATCGAGAGCACTATTCAAATCGCCGAATGAAATGACGTGACAAAAGCAATCGATTAAATGATTAAAAGACTTGACGTATCGGCTATCTGTTAATTAATATACACATTCATTAATAATATGCGGGATTTACACTTTCAATATTGCCTCCCGAGCGGTCTCAAGTGTAATTTGACTTCGCGACGTGCCGCGCCATCGTGGTGAGGTCGCCGGCAACACTTTCAAAAATTTCAGTCTTTTCGGAGGGACGCGGTGTGCGCGTCGGACGTGGGACGGACCCCGGTCGCGAAATTGTGTAGCGTCGCGACGCGTTTATTTGGCAAATACGATCGCGCTCGTTGCCGTCGCGGCATCGCTCCGGAGTCGCCGCGGGTCGATCAATTCAATCGAAGGAGTCTCGCGAGGAGGTCACGCGTCCCGAGCCGTCGACGATCGTCGCGTATACGCCGACATTTTACAAGCCGCGCGACTGATACAAGACCGTGGGATTAATCGCGGACAATTGCGACGGATTACGGACCATTCGCAAAAACACGATCACTCCGACGCTCCGCGCCAGTATTCCCGAAATCGGGCAACGCTCGCTTTACCGCCTGGAATAGCGATACTTATTGCGTGATACACTTGTAATGAGCGCACGAATGGATTCGCGTGTATGGAGTCGCGTACGAATGTAAATATACGAGCTAACAATACGACGAATGTCCGAGGTACGCGAAAATATGCGTCTTTTCGCGTACCGCGTCCCTCGGATATTCATCTTAATTGTATATTTACGCTCGTATACATGAATTCGTTCGTGCGCTCATTACAAAGTATCGTAATAAGATCGCTGCAACAGGGGGAGGGAGGGGGGGGGCGGGCGGTATTCATTACGTGCCCTAGTCAACAGGTGTGGCGCCGCGTCGCCGTGGAGAATGGCGTGAATTTCGGCGGGCGTCCCGCTACCCCCGGATCGTGATTTCCGCGTCGTTTTTCCGCGCGTATGTGAATTATAGTGAGCCATTTCAAGCGGAATTTAAGCGAGCGTGCCTGATCTCGGGAGTGCCGGCCGTGCAGAGTGTCGGGCGATCGTGATATTTTTCTCTGAACGGTGGCCATGATCTGTCGCGAAGCGAGTGTTGTGAATGTGTTGTGCAAAAAAAAATGGATTGACAACAAGAGAGGAGGAGGAGGCCCGGGGTGGCATCAGGCGACGGGCGGAGCAACCGTGGGTAAGCACGATTTAATTGTGGCTCGCTTAAAAAAACTTATTTTATAAAATGTTATTTTTTTGAACGTTGTTTTATAAAGAATATATTTGTATTTTTTACAGATTATTATTCAATCTCCGCTGCTGCGCATCGTACTGGTGAGCGTTGTTCTTTTATTTTTGCTTTATTCTAAAAGCTTGACTTTAGAACTTTTTTTTATTAATATTTTGTCTTTTGTTAATGGTCTGTAGCTATATATTGATATCTTGAAATTTGGACAATTTTTTTTTAATTCTACTTGCGATTGAAAGGATATTTGGAGAGATTCTGATATCTCCTGATGTAGTCTTACCGGTATATCCTAGAATGTACGGCGGCGCCTTGTACGATACAGCTTCGTTATTCCAATCTCTTCTGATCTCTTTATCCTGAAGAGTTGGTAACTCCACTTCTCTACCGGAACTTGGCCTGTATGGTCCAGTCTTAAGAATCTTCTTTTCTAATAATTCCTATACGACAATACAGAATGTAAAATTAAACTTTCGGGTACGTAATTTAGTTATCCATAATATTTTGCGATTATTACACAATTTTCGTTGTTCAAATTTTTTTTTATAAATAAGTGCATTTCTCATTTTAACAGCTTAATTTTTTTTAAATATCTTCTTTTTAATATCTTACCTTCATTATTTCTTCCGTATTCGCTCCGAATCTCTTTCCAACGCGAAATTTCAGGGTGGGACAATGACCTGTATACCTAAAAGTACACGCAACTTGTATATTAAGGTAGCACGAAATGAGTTTTGAAAGATGATAAATTTAGATATACCTAATAACACCGTTGCATTTCTCAAAACTTAAAGAAATCGAGTTTTTCGTAAAATAAGCGACCGTATTAATATTATGGTACATACATTGTTTCACGACAGCGTGACAAGTCAACTGTGTGATATTTAATGCAACATTTTTCGATCAGTTTGCAGTCTACTTTTCCATGACCAAAATATTTATGCTAAGGAAATACACTGGACAGTGTAGCGTGCAAAATTATGACCTATTACATGGACATGTTATAAGGCGCCTACTTCTGCCTACCGAAGCGTATCTAATTCCTTGGATATCTTGCGCGATATATGCACATAGGGGGCGAGGAAGGCTCTTCTTCGTTAGATCTATACTCGTAGTCACATTGCTACTTACCGCGACCGGTGTAGGATACCAATGAAGTATGCATATTCCGGGAAAAAAAAATGCGGACTCGCACGCGAGGTATACTTGTCTACTTGTAACTTCTGTATTAAGTACAAGTATACCGTGAATAAATAATTAAAATAGAGCACAATTCGAATTCGAAGAATCGAGACCGATCGATAAATCTGTGATTAAGATAAAGAAAGCGCGGACTGTAGTTATGAAATAATACAATATATTGTTAAAAGAATAGAGCACGACCTTCGATGCACGTGATTATAGTGAGCATCGTGCTAATCGACTTAAATCGTAGTAATTAGTAGTTTGCGTATTGCACGCATGGCAGAACTATTAATATTTAACCATATCTATTTAATCTTGAAAGTGTATATAATATGTTATATAAATTAATTTCTTTTTACCTCCATGCAATTTTGCATTTATATATATATATATTCCGAATTATCGGGAAAAGCTTTTACGTCTGTACGTAACTGATCGATGTATCTTTCTCCGTCAATCTTTCATTGTTTTAATTATTTTGTTATGAAACTTCTCGGAAATATTTTTATGCGGATTGAAGTATTGGAAAAACGTTTTTGGTCATTCGTCCGCGTTAACGCTTTTACTAATGCTTCGACTGTGGGGCATCGCTTTGAATGTTTCTGCGAGAGGATGGCCGCGATCACGGCCGATCCCTAAATAAAGTAATCGCAGAACCGTAAAAGCGGACTACCGGTGACCCAGTAAATCGAGCCTTCACTTTGTGGCGGTCACGGTGGGATAACCAGCCGAAGTCACTCCTACGCGGTTGTCGCGCCGCGAGTCCCGGCTCTACGCCATTAAGATCTGCATAAATCGTATCTGGGTCGTTGAACTATCTTAACCGTGTCCATATCGCAAGATCAGTGTCAAGTGTGGTCGTTCGGTATCTAGCAGATCGCTTGGTCTGTTACTGTCAGATCTCTTTGAATTAACTTAAACACATTCTTTCTTTATTGCATCTCCAAAAGAATATTTCTTCGACCGAAGCTCTTTCCGTTTCTCTTTTATAATTTAAAAATTACTAGTATTATTTTAGTATCTTAAAAGAACTTGCTTAAAGAAAAATCAAGATGGATCCGAGATTCTGTCCTTAAAATCGAAAGCGATGTTTTTTTGGATATACTTTCTGTCTTAAAATACAAGTGAAAACTGGATCTTTTCACGAAAAGAGAAGAGCTAGAGAAGTTCTCGATAACCAACTTGTTCCCTATCGGTCATTTTTTGCTCCATTTTTGCCGGAATGAGAAAGGTAGCATATAAGTCTGATGGAAAAAGATAATCGGGAGTTTCAATTTCTCTGTCCGAGAGAAATAGGGAGTTTCTATTTCTCTCGCAGACAGAGAAAATGAAACTCCCTTTTCTCTCGGGCGAGCCGTTCGTTCATCCGTTTCGATCCGCGTCTTTTCTCTCCTCGGATCGATAATTCCGGAGCTAGGGTAAATCACGATAAATAGTTCGAGGCGATTCGCCATACGGAAGGGTAGTTTTGCGTGATATAGCTTTATAGTGAGGAACGTGGGGGTGTAAATTGGCACGGTACCAACCGCGGTACCAGCGGCTTTCGTCTCCCCCTTCTCCCTCCCCACCGACTTCGAGGTCAATACTTCGGGAATGCGCGCTTCCGGTGGGTCATCCGGGCGATCTAGTTCGAATGCGGTATAATCTCGGAATCGAGACGACACGTGTGCCACTTCGATTTTCTCGCCCGGTGTCCGTGCGATCGGTAAATATTGCGAATGCATAATGCATTTGGTACAATATATGTACATTATAAGAGACCACTTTACCGCGATTGATTTTTCGCGTACATCATCGTATATATTACTCTTAATTATATTACATTGAATATCAAAGGTTATATCTATCATAAAAAAGAAGTCTCATTAAGTTTCACATGTTCAATATTTATTTAATACATTCTAAAAGGCTTTTGCAATAATGCTATTGAAATTTTATGAAAATCCTAAGTAGGTAATCAAAGTAATGTATATATCTTTAGAACACTTTTAATTTTTGAAAATCGCAAATTGAAATATTGCTATTTAATAAATTCTAAATCTTGTTTTTATTTATCGTGATAGAAATTGTAGAAGTTTGTTGTAATTTTTACGATTTTATATATTTTTTAATTGTTTTTAAATTCATAAATTAATTAATAAATACTTTGCAATATATTATATGTTATATATTTATTATAGATTAATTTTTATTCAAGTTTTTAAAATACCGTCATGTAACTTTTAAATTTAATGTCAGTCATTATTTGATATTACGGTCGATATCAGCAGACTTCTCTTTTTCTCTCTCTCATCAGTGGTTTAAGTACCGTTTCTGCGGTTTCTATTCAGCTCAAGACCGCTTAGAATTAGATCACTTATAATCGTTGTTCGCGAAGGAAAAAAATTCAGATCTGATTCTTGCAGAACAAGCGTGTTTTCGTGGAAAATCCTTCGATCAGATGCGGTTTCCTTGTGGAATTAATTTCACGCTTTCTGCGTTTTTTTGTCAAGGTTATAAAGACTAAGCGTGCTTTATAGGTTGTCACTCATTTAAGTATTCCAAACAATATAATTTTTCAATGAACAGATACGAAGTATTTTACATAAAATTTTAAAAAAATATTGAATTTGAAAGCCCGGTCAAGAAATACTAGGAAAAAATAAAAAAAGCAGATTGCGACACATTTCTGAAACTTTCGCCGCGGTAAATTAAAAATAAGATTAAAGTTTTTTTTTAATTAGGAATATTTATGCGGATATTATTGATTCCGGTCAGTTACTGTAAATTTAATTACATTGTTGCTAATAAATATGGAAATTATTTTTTTGCGTTTGCAACGTCAAAATCTGAATTGGGGAATTTTATCGAGTTCCCGCGTTAAATATCCTCGATAGGCATTCACGAATTATTTTATTGAAATTTTAATCAAACACGAAAGCAAGATAAAACTCAGAAAGTGATGAATTGCTTGATGTATCATTAGGGAACGAAAAGTTAACAATTCAATATCGTTTTCAAATGACAGAAACTTTATCGCTAAAATTAGTTTAACGATTACAAGAATCTAATTGAATTCACAACTTCGTAGGTACTAAATGTCTCGTTAGCTTCATTGCGTAATGTATGCAGACATATGGCGTCAAACAAAGAAGCTTTAATTAAACGCTCGTAATTAAACGTAGACATTGTACGCGACATGCGCAACAACTTTTAATTGACCATCGAAAAATTTATTAGGTATAAACGAGTATCAGCTTTCTCTTGTCTTTTCTATTTTTTCTCGCTCATTCAGCATATTTTTAATTACAAATGAAAGTGTCACATATATGAAACTTGCCCTTTCTTCATGTAAATGTACGTAATCTCACTTGCAGTAGAAAGCTATTCCAATATATAACTAAATATTTATTTATTTATTATTAGAAACGTAATGTAGACCACTGCGAAATAATACGCTTCTCGGGAGAAAACGATTTCTGTAGCTAACACATAAATAACAATGAATAATGTATATAAATCAGTTGACTTACTTTTACTTAAAGAAATATAACCGAATAGGTAAATAATTAAATTATGGTAATAATTAAATTTCAAAAAGTGTATATGTCTACGTGTGTATGCAATCGTAATAATCTCTGTTATAATAAATCACGAACGATATTAATGTCATTATTTCCTTTAAGAAAGTGTAGATCTTGGTGTAGATCTTTATGATATATTGTATGTGTGTAGTAACGGTATCATAACTCTGTACGTGCAATCACACTCACATTAAAGTAAATACGGATGTAAAATGTATGAATAGAATATTTAATATTTATTCACACACATAAACGCATGCGCATGTATATTGTACGTGGCTATAACCAGCTATGCATATAATTACAATAAGCGTGAGCTTATTGAACTCGATAAAATTCCCCAATTCAGATTTTGACGTTTTAATATTTTTACGCTTTAATATTTTTAATATGAATATACATGAATTAAATCTCCCTATAAAACACGGATATGCAACCTGCGTAATAAAAAGCTTTAACAGTTTTGTAATAAACGTAAGTGAGATGCAGGGAATCGATAGGCAGAAGAGAAGCGAATGTAATCGCGAATTAATCGCAGATTAAAAAACACGTCAATTGACGACATGTACACTTACCCAGGTAAATGAGCGCCATAGCTCTGCCTGAAGAATTGCTTCCTCTGCTCTTCGCACATCGCGTCGAACACCATTTTTCCTATCGCGTGCAGTCGTAAATAAATCACAATGCGGGGACACTCGTCGAGATTCTTGATCCGAAATTTCTTCTCTTCATGTCGTTCTCCTCTCCTCCTCCTCTTCTTCTTCTTCCGTTGATTGAGAATATGCGTTTCTACCGAAGCATAGCACCTTTTTGTCTTCCACAATAATCTCCGTGTCTCATGTATTCATCGTACTCAGCGAAAATCCTCTCCTCATCCGTTCTTCATTCGCTCGATCGTTTGCAGTTTGCGACGGTCGATCACCATCGAGGATGGCACGCCGGGTCGTTAATTGGAGTACCGATCCGAAATCTTCCCGCAGCCTGAAATCGCTATTTCGCGATCGTTAAGCCTACATTCGTGGATCAGGAGTCAACCGCTCCCGCGTCCGAGCGTTGCGCGACCGCGCCGAGGATGATCGCCGACTGGGGAAGCAATTGGGGCCGCTCCACGCGGATCCACGGTCGGCCCCCCCGGGTGGGATCGATCGATCGACGATCCGCGGCGTCGTCGGTTCCGACGGCGATCGCGCGAACCGCGTCGCGTCGCACACACGCGGCACCGGCCGCGTCAGTGAAACAGTATCGTGTATAGTCGGTCCGCGCGGATACATAGCGCGACGCCGTGCCCTACTAAACGCGCCCCTCCATCACCGCGCGCCGCCCTTTAAGGGGTTCGACAACACCATCATCATCGGGGTTGTGTCGGCGCATCCCGTGACCGCTCAATCGTGCGGAACGCCTCGGCACACACGTGATTGTCAGATTCACCCTCGAACGCGTTATCGGTCATTAACCCTCCGCTACCTCGAGTCAGCGTAATAATTTAGGATAACGACGCATTGTGTTTGTGACGATTATGTCACTCGCTCTTCACGATCGACGCCAATGTTCCTGCGGCGATAAATGTTTTTTTTTTTTAATTATATAATCAGCAAATCGTATAAAAACACTGAGACATTACAAGCAATCATCGACTTCTCGTTTATTTTTTTACTCTGTGTAGTCATTTGTGTATACTGTAATACTGTATTAATAGTGACCCTGTACTCATTTTTTTCTTAAAATACTGTAGCGATCTAAAGTAACCGTTACATACCGCTCGATAAAAAAATTGAAAACTCTTGGAGATTATAAATCAGTGTAATATTTTACTTTAATTATAGGTAATTTTTTGATATAGCGCGGATTATATATATATTTTTAATATTAGATATAACATGATAATTTGTGTTATGAATAGTGGTTATCACGAATTTATTTTACGTACTAAGAAAAAATGAGGACAGTGGAAACTTGTTGTTTTCTTTCGCACAAATCCTTTATATTTTCTCGTATTTACTGTTTATTGTCTTACCGTCTCTCTCGTTAGTCCAATCGTGTGAGTATTCTTTAGTTTACTGGCAGAGACGCTTCCTCGTTTCTTCTGCGTTTCATCGGTAACTAGGGGACACTTAAGTAGCAAGCGGGACGGTCTCCAGAGTAACTCTGGCGAAAAATCGATATAGGGGGTTGAGGGCATCACTCATTCTCCTCACGAAAGCCGTCTCGAGCGAACATAAGTATCGTCAGAGACGGTCCGTGATTTTTATAACTCGCGATATGATTTGATAATGCCGCGATTCGGGCAGCGTTCAATAATAAAATTTCGAAGAACTATTGATATGAATCGATAATACGAATCATTTATGACGCAAGCAAAGAAATGTTTCAAGTATTAAGAATATTTGATTTGGAAAAACCTATAACTCTCGATTTTCTCCTATATTTTCCTTTTTCCAAGTGCCACAAGTGGAAACACGTTTGTTAAACTTATAGATATGCTCTATGATAAAAAAGGATAATTAATTGGAGAAAGCTTTCAGCATAAAAATATATTTAATATATTGTGTAATATAAAAAATATTTTTAGCATCGTACGCTAGTTTCAGACGAGAGAAAATACATTAGAATTGATATTTTAATTTTGCCAATTCCAAACTAAAAAAAATATTTGTTTACAGAGATGCAGAAACATAACTTCTTAATTATGATGTGCTTTAACTCAAAATTATGTTGCTGAAAATTAAAATAATAATAGACAAAGATAAAATATTTTTTGATTAGATTTTAAACTTTGTTAAAAGTACAATAATATCGATTTTTTTTTATTAGATAATTGAGTTAAATTTATCACACTTTATTCTATCGATGATCAGTAACACAAATTTCGTTATTGGATGTTGATAAAATTGCAACTAATTGATAATACTTGACTGAACTAGCCTCTTCGATGCTTAGATTATCATGTGTTGGTAATCGTGACTTGATTTAAAATTTTATTCATCCGATGATACGTCCATTCTCTTATATTATTTATCAATGAATATTTTGGTATATGAAATATACCTTTAATTTTTTTACAAAGGTTGCATATATATATATTGCACAGTGAATGGAATCGCGAAGCAATGTAGCAGATTTCTTGCGTGGCTTTCGTTTCACTTCCACGATATCGATGACTGACGCAGTGTGTGCATACAATGTAAGAATACATATTTTTTTTAACACGCGGTTTATTCAGACACGAATAGCGTTACGGCTATTGTTTGCGCATGTTTTTTATTGCACGTATACGTCGCCTACCATAGCTGCGATGCTCGAGGAAGCGTAGGTAGAATATTGATTTCCGATTCCTGTTATATGTATTACATATATATTGTATTGTTGGAGGACGATATTTCAACAAGTTTAGGTGAGTCGTTTGTAGAATCATTTCCGACTGCGCAATAAAATAATCCGATTGTTATATCAGGCGCGATTTTAATCGCTTCTCCGACGGCGAGATAGCCGCGCAAAACCGCAAAATCCGCAAAATTTCTATCGCACTTTATTCATTCCTGCGCGATATCGAGACAAATGGTTGAACTAAACTTTTTTTTCTAAAGATTCAGAAGTAAACACGCACATCACGCATACGTTAATTACAAAATAACATCTTCTCAATTATCAAATCGATATCAACTTGTCGTGAGGGCAATTCCGAGAGATTTACAGCTAATTATTAGCGCCAAGTTTGTTACGTTAGAATATATTTATCTGTGTTACAATGATTAATTTGCTGACTGCGTACAGTTGCCGAAAGTTTCGTTCGTTAAGCCGGCGAAATTAATTTTGTCAGCGGTCTGCGACGATGCAAGTCGCTAATTAGCGTAATAATACTTACGTGGAATACAGATTAATTAATAGGTAACAGTATTATATAACGCTGTTGTTAATATTACGAAAATACATATATTTGTTGTTTGGATTGGAAGAGTTTACGCACATATTTTTATGATAAAATGTAATTATTATAAATATAATTATTTTTCCTACGTAATTGGATGCTTATTAAAACATTAACGACGCGATTTAATGAAACTTAGGATTTATGAGAGACTTATTCATAATTTTAAACATTATCATATCATTAATTTGAATTAAAGCACGAATTAAGACTTATAAGGATCTTATAAAGACGCAGGTCAAATACGTCATTTTTAATAATTACGTATTGCAAAATTAATTTAATTTTAAAATTAAGTTTTTCAAAGTCAGAGTTTATACGGCAAAAGTAAAGCTTTCCTGTTTCGCTTCCCGTTTTTTCAAGGTCGATTCCGAGTAGATACGCATTTTCCCACTGGCGGAGGGTGAAGGACAAATCAGTGGGATTTGATAGGGATCCCCTTCAGGTATATCCGGCCATATTTTATCCCCCTTTTTAATGACGTCTTATTTGTCTCGATAGATTGTATCCAGATAAATTGCAAGTTATGCTAAATAATATAGTAGTCTGAGCGTGTAGTATATTACATAACCCGCGCGCGCGTGTGTTTGCGCTCTGAGTTCTTTTCGCCTGGCTAATCAAAAAATTATCCCTCTCATATTTATGCGAGTACAAGATAATTTCTATACTTATATCGACTTTTAATTCGCCGCGCTGTGTATCTATCCATCTGTTGTTTATTCGCATCTCTGAAACATTCATCTATAAAGTTCAATATTTAAATTTAAAACACGCTGTATCAAGATCTGATTTTAAATTTAGAGTTGGAAAAATGTCGCGTTTTTTACGAGACTGTTCGTGTATAGGTTAAATAACAAATTGCGTGTTGCTTCAACTGCTGAACGCTTGCTTTTTGCGCGTTCGTTCATCGCGCCTTATCAACTATATCGGTAACTATATCGCCTTTCTGCATTATCAAATCAAAGTATTTTACGTTTAATCTACATTTCATATTCGTGTTAAACGTAATATATTGCAATGTATAATTTTATTAACTGTGCTACTAGTTTCGTGCACTTTAATATCTATAATAAAACGGGTTTTAGTTAACTTTTTGTGAATGCTTATAGTTATATACCATTTGTTGCGCGAATATTCTATTTTAGAAGACACAAAATGTCTCTTTACTCTTTCTTTTTTTAAGATATTTTGCTTAAAATATTAATAAACCTCCCTTATTCTTCATCTTCGTTTCTGGAATTAGATATTTATATATAATTAACTTTTGGCTTTTACTACAGTACTTTATTTATCATTGATATGAGATTGCACGATGATTACACCGTTTCCCTAAATATAATATAAAAGTTTATTTGCGACCGTATTTAACATTAAAAGTTAAAACGGTTTGCCGAATGTATTACGCTGTAGTGATATAAATGCAACTTTAATAATATATTTTCGTTTTATCTGTCATTTCTGGTAAAATATAAACATAATGAAACAGTACATTATTTATGGTGCTCTACTCAGCATTTAGTAAAGCAATATCGAGATATATAAATAAATACTAAATTTTTTATTTTTTATCTATATTTGTTAAATAATATTTTCAAATCAAGGAAATTTTAATTTAACATAAATTAAACTTTTGTTTGTGTGCAGTGCACATACGTAAAACTTGACGAACGTTGCTAAAGTGTTTGATGTTGAAAATTAAGAGCTGATTTTCACGAAGAAATCCGTCATTAACAGCTGATCGGCGCAATCGGCCGGTGCCGGTTATGTGATCGTGACTTTCTCGCGCCGCGGCATCCGGATCCCCCGGGACTCAGATTCCCGGGGTACATTTAACGAATCCACTCCCTTGCCGCGCGTGCACGCACGCACGCACGCTCTAGCGCGCCTACGCGTGAACGCAGGACGACGGCGATGCGCGGCGATTAGCGCGCCGCCAAAAATTCAATCCACGGCACGTCAGCACGCCGCTGTGTGTATCAACATTGAAAAATCAATGGTAACCGGTGACGTAGGTGTCCCGCCTCAACGGCAGCCAATGGATGCGCCCGTCCGTCCCTACCACTCCCGCCTTGGTTTGCGAGACCCTCGTTTTGTCCACGCGCGGACCGGCGTGCTTATTCCGTAGCGGACTGCCGCATTGTACGGACGTGAGTTCAGGAGAGAAGCGGATCGCCGGAACAAGGCGAATACGCCGTAAAACGGAAGGAGCCAGGAGAGAGAAATAAAAAGAAAGAGACGCAGTATCGCAAGCGCACTTGTGCGAGCGCGAATACGTGTATGAAGTTTTCCAGTTCGATCCACCGGACGTAACTTGGTCGTCGTCGCACGTCAACGTTGTCAACGCGAATCAACATCGATCGCGACATCGATCACGGAGCGGAATTGTGCGATCGCGATTCGACAGCGAGAATCCTAAGCGAGAAATTCGCAGGCAAGATCTGCTGACACTGTCGGTGTAAAGATTGGCCTTTTCTCTCACTCTTGCGTGGCCGACGTGTTAGAACTTTCGAGAAAGCGACGGAGAGAGAGAGGCAGAGATTGAGGGAAAAAGGTAGGGACGAGCCCAGGGCGACGACGTTTGAAACTGAGACGGGACAGTAAAAACCAGAGACGAGATGGCGTTTATGATGCCTGTGGTGAAAAACGAATGGGACATTTACAAGACTAATCGGAGTCGACGATCGTCCGAGTGCTCAAATCCGCAGGCCTGTCGTAGCCGAAAGGTGAGTGGGATATGATACGTTCACACGAGTGCGGCGTTTTTTTTTGTTTTTTTGTTTTTTGTTTCACAAATAGAGGCGTCGGTGTGACGGAACGTGCTCCCTTAATTGACGCGAGAGAAGCAGGTGGAAAATTGCGGAAACCGTTAAGCCGCGCATATGTCTTCATCATTCACGTTTAAACTTCCCCTGCCTCTATTTGCGACACAATGTAGGTAGAGATGCAAAACGAAGTTGATATTAAATAATTGATAAAAGTGTCTCTACTGAGAAATATAAAATTGCTGAAAATCTAAGAAATGTCAGTCATTGTCGTTTTATGAATTGCTAGTTGAAAAACGCCGTACCGGATGTTTAAAAAATTAGTCTAATGTAGTGTGCATTATTGGCAATATATTTAAAACACGAAGATGATTCTTCTCGAGGAAATTTATATGTGAACTTTAACATTATGTATGTTAAAAAAGTAATGTGTGTGTAGCACTAAAGGGAAAGAAATTACGTGTGTACGTTGTGCACTTTTTTTTTGTATCGTATTGAAAAAAAATGTGGGAGTTTAATCTCTTCGTCCACGTCGCACGAATCGTTGTACAATAATAAACCGCGTTATATAAACCGTCAAAAATAAAAAAAGATCGGATGTTGATAAACATTAATTCTCGCGCGTGATTGTTTTTAGCGCGTCATAAAATTTTACAAAGCTTTCCGGCGGTGGTTTTAATTTACAGGATACTAACAGTGTGTAGCGAATTCGGATAACTGATTCGATGTAGAAACAATTCAGTTTGTATCGACAAGCGCCAGTGACGTAACTGTGCGTCTTCTCGTTGTTATGTATATTTCGTTTAATCGTTTATCGACATGCATACGAGGGAGAGAAAAACAAGTTTGCAAGACGAGCGATTTTCTCTTTTGAAAATTTGCGCGTGTGTGATGGGTGGGAGGGGGGGGGGGCACCGTTTACAAAATTGCGAGAGAGAGACGGTGACTTTTAACAATGCCGGCGCCGACCAGTCTTGATGCGTCATTCGCGCATTATATCGCGCGTATTATCAGCGCGAAAGCATTTGAAACGTACGCCGGCATGGAAAATGACATCCTTTTACGGCGTTTTGCGGAAAAGCGCGCACTCTTTTTTTTTTTTTTTTTCGCCGGTTGTAATTTTGTGCGCAGTTTTCGGGATGCTCGTGGTTGATGGGGAGGGTCGATGAAAGAATTGGTGCGCAATATCGTGAACGGCGTATCGTAGGGACAACGGCTTTGGGGTGAAGGGGGGACGAGGAATCGAGAAAGAACCGGCCACTGCACATGCGATTTTTTCGCAGGTCTGGCGAACCAGCAGACACAGCCGTCTTGCGAAGTGCGGCGCGTCTGATCCTCCTGTCTCGATTCTCATGGTAATCGGCTATCCCTAAGCGGCGTGACTTTTCATTTTTCCGACCCGCTCGAGGTGCTTATTTTGAAAAGGTTCCGTATATTACACTTGTGTTAGAAATGAGGTGAGATTAAATATCGATACATGAGAGAGCTTGTTTCAACAGCTGCCAGATTTGTCAGCCTTTTTGAAATAAACACCTCGTTTAACTCCCATAGCTTCATAGAGATATCGATATTTACGTTAGAGAGTTTTTCAGATATTATATCACAAATAGACATTAGAGTGTTTATTGTTTTAAAGAAAATATTTACATGTTAAAGATGATATAATTGCGGAAAATGTATGAACGTAGTACTCTCTTATTTGTACGGAGTATCGAAGAACGTAGTACTCTCCTATTTGTATAGAGTATCGATTTTCTTGGAGCTATATAAGAGCTAATTGCAATTTAGTTTTGCCATTCTTTTGATTGTTACAAATAAAAATATCCTGCTTTTCTTACATGTATTTATGTGACGTTGTGCGACTTCAATGTAATTGTGTACACATGCAAATTTTACGTTGCGATAACGAAAAAATTCTTTGCTATTTTAATGTGTTTTTTTAAAACGTAAGTGAATATACAAATATTTTGAATTAACAACAAAAAAATATTTTTATTTAAAATGTGAGATTAATTTTTTTTTAGGAAAATTTAGAATGACTTATCAAAATTTTAATATTGATTATAATTAGAGTTCAAGTTAAATTAAAATAGATATAAATTTGAAGCAATTAAGATACAAGATTTTTTACGGTAAATCTAAATTTTTGCCAAACAGGGTGTGTGTTAAATTCAATAAGGACAGGTTACTAAATTTGTTTCTCACAAACATCTTGTGTATAAAGTCTTCAGATTTGTATCAATACCTTGCTATGCTTTATCATGTGTATGCATTACAATTGTTACATGTCTTTTGTGTGCGTTATTTTCAAATATAAAATGGAAAAGATCTTTCCACATTAAGATGAAAATAACTGAGAGTATAGAGAATTAATTCCAGATTGCGCAATACGCGTGTTTTCGTTCGAAAAATATAAAATTTCGTTAACGTGAAATTAATTCGAGTTTAACTGGAAAAATAAGATTTCACATTTATCTTGTATTTACCTATACTTGGGGTGTTTCAAACTCGGAAGAGAGTATTTTCTTTTATGGTCTTCAATATTAAATTAAATTTTCCACCGAGCTTACGTTAAAGAGTAGTTACCTCTAAATTTGTCACAGAAATTTTACTGGTGAGAAAGTTTGCGAAACATGCCGCAGCGGAGTTTGATAGCTCCCTCCGAGCGTCAAGGACGGATCCAACTTTTTTTTTTTTACACGATTGACCGTGTTCGCAACACGGTCGATCGTTCTCCTCGCGCCGGCGTTCGACGACAAAATAGCTCGGAAAAAGTCGGAACCTTTTTTTTTTCCCTCGCAAAATCGCTGTTCGTAAAAGATTGACTCGCGTTGCACCAGGAACCGGTTTATCCCTCGGCGTCGCTAAACGTCCGGCGAAATTGTATTTGCAGACGCTGAATAAGCACAGTCAATAATAGGTGACGATCGGAACCACGTGTGTCCCCCCGGATAAATGCGCGCCGGCTAGAAGTTTATTTTTATCGCGACGTATGCAGTTACGCGCGTAATGTCAAATTGCGTGCGCGGTTTATTGCGCTCGTAAATGTTATCGCAAATGTCATATCATATACCGGTGGCGTTTCGAGCTTTTCGTGTTTATTTTATTCTTTCGTTTATGCATACGAAATAAATTTGCAGCAACATTACGACGACGGCAATTATGCAAATGTTAATTGATAGAAGTTACACCGGAATTATCGGAATCATTAATGTGCCAATATAGATATGTGAGAAGTTCGGGCATGACGATACACATTTTTATTTATCGTCGTATTACCATAGTCAAAGCGGTTTATGCAAATGACACACGTACTACTTCGTCTTACTCGAATATCTTATATATTTTTAACGGACGTACTTATCCTAGATAGATTTTTTTTTATGTTCAAAGTACGAGCAATTGAATACGAGAGAGTGAATCAACGAAATAATCCCGGACGTATTAATTCAACGATTCAACTATGAATCACTTCCTTCAGATAATTTCGAAACAGATTTCATTTGTAATGTAAATTTAATTCAAGATCGATATCGTAAATCGAAAGATTGTCAAAAGGACATTGTACGGCGATTACTAATTTTTATACGAGGAGTGATTTATACTTTGTCAAATTTCCACCGTAAAAATGCTCTCTGTAGGTCTAGGGCACTGTGTACTTCATATCTGTGACGCGACATTGCGCAAGTCCTGGTCAATTGCTTTCACAACGTTGCCTCGTGCGATGAACTCTATACGGATTCTCAATCGTTGAAAGCTCCTTATCTGTTCATTCATTCCATAATCGCACGATTCGCAAAATATAATAGTGTATATATATATTTTTTTGTTACGAATGCGATTGTGGAATGAATAAACAGATAAGGGGCTTTTCGTGTTTATTTAATAAATAACGCAATATATATATATATATATATATATATATATATATATGTGTATGTATATATATTGCGTCATTTCAATCTCGACAATTAAATCCCTCGAAAGATCGATTATCAATGTTGATATGATAAAACTTGGCTAAAACTCGAATTTCCTAAAATTTTTACTGATCATCAAATTATTACGTCTTACATAATTCTGTGAAATCATTCATTACGTTAGATCAAGTTAATTGATGTATTTCGGTATTCCGTGCTTGAATTTTTGTAAGTCACACGGTTTGTGAAAGAATATTATGACGGGACTTACGTTTAAACAAGTTCTTCAATTTTTATGTTCATATTTTAAGTACTTCGATAAATTTTCTACGCTGCTTCGTGAAGTAATAACGATGATAAGGCAGAAATTTGTTGTTACCTAATACCTGTGTTGCATCATACGTTAGTATCGGATACCATTTCCTCAAGGTTTTTTCCTGATTTGCGATAATATTCTTAAAGACTAATATTTAAAAAAAACATCATTTTTTTCTAAGAAATCATAAATCTATTTTTTTAAATATAATCAATGATACAAAATTGAAAGACTCATTGAAAAGACTTGGCGCAAGAATGAGATAATTCCTCTCGACTCTTCAACCGTGAAGAGACTACTTTGTTACGGGAACATTACGGCTTTAACACAGAAATGCGACAAGAGTCATGTGCGTGAAAAGGATATTTGTGAGGTATAAGGCGACGCGGTTGACATAACTGTTTTTATTTTGCGTAAGCTAGCAATCTTCGGTTTCGCCCCGGGTAATTTCGCGGTGCCGTTTCTTGAACTTGACCTGCTGCACTTAAAGCAAGGATAGAGTACGAAGGAGACAGTGATTTGTAGAAGGGAACGCAAAAGATAATCGACAAGAAGACGCGATTGCAGATAGACATTCTTCGTTAAGATTCTCAATTTAGCTCCTGTTTATTTATTAAATAAAAAAAATAACTGCATGATTATTAAAAAAGTCGAAAAAATTTTGAGACAATTTTTATACAGACCGCCGCATTATGTCTGTGTATGATAAAATATTTAAAAATACTAAAAAATTTTGATTTTCGTTAAATTTTGTATCATATATTTTTTTTTATTTTTAATAAATAATTGTAATTTTTTTATATTTAAAATATATTGTTACGCATAACGTGACAATAATTAATGTATATAATCTAATCTGGTTAACAAAATAAATTAATTATATATTTATTTGTGCATTATTATTATTAAATTAATGGAATAATTATTGAATATAGAAACAAAATAAATTTATATGTAGTTTTGTATATGATACATAAGGAAGATTTAATTTCCGTCACGGGTAATGCGTTGTACCGTTATAAAAACGCGTGAACGGGATATTTTTAATCAACTCATTGTGTCCTTCTATGTCGATATTTAGAGCCAACTCGAGCACGTGACACTGAAAGTTACAAGTACGCAGTGCGAGATAGATACGATTATTACTGCCAGAACATCAGCGCAATCTCACGAGAAATCATTGCCAATTATATAACGCGAAGCTATTAGTTTGTGTACTGCGCAATTTTTTAAACAGTGCAATATGCATTATCACGATATGATTGTATATTAATGCCTAATTATAAGCGCGCATATTTTTGTGAAGCTTTTTTTGTTTACGCTCGTCGTATTTCTGCCGGAGAATCGCTAAAAAAAATCGCGAAATTCAATGATAATGCTGAATTTAGATCAAAATTTGTGCATTTAAATTTACATATAAATTTCGATAACAGTATTTCAAGTTTCAAAAATCTCCGAAAATTACATTTGAATTAATTCCTAAAAGCTGGCAGTAAATGGTAATCGAAATATATGCCTGATAGCTATTAATAATCAAAATACATTTAATTATGAAATTAACTATTTCGATTAGCGTGAAGGATTACGTTAATATGATGAAATTATTATTCGTAGCATAGTTTTCTCGGGGAATTATTTGGGGGGATTATTATTAGATATCAGGGGATAATTATTCTACAATTTGTTATAACGTTTGCAAATGCTTCAATTAAAAAGAGATCTGTCACCTATTACTAACAATCTTTAAGCAGTGCATAAGATGTTAATTATCAATCGAGATTAGGTTTTATTCACTCGTTGACGTACGGTAGACGTGAAACTTGGAACATTAATGAATCTTAAGCAAACGAAGTTTGCGGCAAACAAGTTTCAAACACCTGTCCTGAACTTGTTCTGTACGCCGATAGCACGCGGTGAATAATCGATCGTCGTTCTTATTTTCATTACTTCTATTTTTATCTCATGTAACGCTTCGATAAAAGGTTCTTTATAAATACGAGTCAGGGATCGCGGTAAGAGATTAAATGAGAAACATTTATAGGTACTCCAATCGCGCACGTATCAATACACATTGCGTCGCATTTCGTCCGTTATATGTGGATTGCGTAACCGCACGTAATACAACAGCGAGAGTAGATTCGGTGAGATTGGAGCCAGAGGGACAAAGCGAGTTAGTTAATCGCTGCGGCATCAAACATTGTACTTGAATAAAAAGGATTATACTCTCTTGTCGGGAATTTTAAATCACTTACACGATATTTTAATAATTCTGCATGTATCTCATATGTTTATAAAAATTACAGAAGACAAAAAATTAACTTTATATATTTAGAAAATATAAAGCTCTCTTTAAAATGAGGAAGAGAATTAAAAAAGCAATATTTTTATTAAAATAGAAGGACACATATTCTTGCTCTTCATTCAAAATTGATGCGTAAAGTAAATTAAAGAGAATTTTAAAAATTATAATTTAAATAAGATTCTCTCATAAGTTACAATTAAAGTTTGGCTTTATAAATAGCAAAATCCATTCTAGAAAATATGAGAATCATTGTGTGAGCTAACTGCCGTAATTCGATCTTGCTTGGCTATCACTGTGTATATGTCAAAGGAGGGGAAACACACGAAACAAATCTGACCTAATCGGCCACTTACCCGCCTCCTGCCGCGCGATGACAGCGCGAGCACGTGGTCGCACAAGTTCGACGTGCGGGTCGTGCGTGGAAAAGGGCACGTACGCGTATGCGTGTATCGAATGTATATACGCGTCATACGCGCGATACACTCTTTTGCAATTTTTATCGCGCTTCGGCGTTGAATAATTCAAAATGACTCGGTCAGTTCGCGTTCGAGAGCATTCGCGAACACGTGATTGCAAATCAGTTTAGTCAAATGACATTGTTATTACCGAAAGGGAATTGCACGCCGACGAGAAACGACGTGTTTCTTTCGTGAATTAATTGCGCACCCGTTAGGGTTATCGCCGTTATCACGTGATTCGCGAGCGCGGGGATTCTCTTGACTTTGACGTGTGTACATATTTGGACGATAAATGCTGATTAAAGGAAGTTGCGGGTTGTCAAAATATTATTACCCGGCGCTTCTAATGCCTTCCATTTTTAGTCTATCGTCTTATCAGTACAGATACGAATATTATTTCGTGAATCATGTATGGATTGCGATGTCATATCTTATCGTTAAAAACCTAAATCCGTACTCCGAATCCATATGTATGTAGATAACGCCTTAATACTTTAAATTAAAATAACTTTGAATAGTGACCATTATTATGTAATATGATATTTATACATATATAATCTAAATAAAAACAAATTGTATTTTTAAATTTTTTATCTCGCAGTATTTATAGTGCACAAAAAATTTGCAGGATAGAAATAATTATTTACGCATGCAGAATAGAATAACTAGTATTAAGTTATATAATAAAGAGAAATATTTAAAAGATAGTCTGTTAATGAATAATTTCTCTTTCTCATATTACAACAATGTAATTAAATTCTTCGCGTATTAAATTAATTGCTAATTAAAAGATTAGCTAATGTCTTGATTTTGATGGTAACATATATATTTCGATCTAGAGAGGAGATAAAAATGAAGGATGTTCGGTTCGATTAATATGATTTCGTTTATGCCCTGTTACTCGCGTACTAAAGTATATTGCGGAGTTCGTCGTAGCTTTCACCGTTCGTGCAATAAGCAACAAACGAATGACTTCGACGAAATAGACGCGCGAAATGTGTCGTTATCGTAAGGATGATTGCGTCTCATTGTGATTTCGTGATATTAGAATGGAATCTGGATGAAAGCCCAACGGATTTGAAAGGCAAATCACCCGATTAAAGACTGTTATTGTAAATAATGATGATAGAATAGGAATTCGCTATAATAGTTTCAATTATGATTGATTACTCGTCATTGTGCGTTAATAAATCATATAACGCCTTAGAAACAAACAATAATATTCATTAAAATATAGGTAATCATTCTAATTAATATAGGTAATCATTCTAATTCTAATGAAATTTATTTAGAGTTTTAGTAACAATTTCAGCTATGTATATCACGAAGTAAGTATGTATAAAAGTTAATAAAACCATTTTTTATAATATCGTTGCCAATAATGCACACGAATAAGAGAGCGATGACGAAAAACGAGCTAAATACTTACGAGCTCATATGGGAAAATTTGAATCAGGAACTTTTCCTCATGCCGTAACCCGGAACGTTTTATCTTTTTGATCGTAGGTATCCGAATGTTCCAAGTCGGAGGGTCCGTCGTTGTCGACCTCCCCCGGTTCCGACTTTCTCACCTCGCCGGCGCATCGGTCCGTGCCGCTGACCTCGCGGCACTTCTCGAGGACGTCCTCGAGGGCGTCGCAGAGCTCGCTCCAGAGCCCGAGCAAGAGCACGGGCACGTCGCCGCCGAAGACCGGCAGCTCAAGCTCCCTGAACAAGTTCCACAACCGGCTGGTGGACAAGCTGAAGCGGTCGCTGAAGAAGGCGGAGGATTGCGCGGAGGATCAACGGAACCTATCGTGAAACAGTCAAGGGGTTTTGGGCCGGCCGCCCGCGTCCGGCTCGAAACCGATCGAGATCCGACGCACATCGGCACCCGTTCCCGCATCCGAATCGAGCAGCAACGTGGCGGCACGCTCGTGTCCGGATCCGCCTTCAGCTTGGTAAGGGAGAAAGAGATGATATAATGACGGAGGAAACGAGAGCAACGGGGAACATGTGCGAATACGTGTGCGAAGAAGAGAAAGATCGAAGGAGGAAGAGAGAGAGAGAAAGAGAGAAGAAAAAATGCACGGATGTGCGAAGGAAGAGAGAGAGGGAGTTCGCACACGTTCAGCTCGAAAAGCGAGCACGCTCAAGTTTGTTAGCCCAGCACGAGTTCGGAAGAGGAGGAGGAAGAGGAGAGAGAAGAAGAGGATGGTTGAATGATCCTCGAGCCGTTGTTCGGCTCGCTGGATGTCGACAGTCGATTGTGTCAAGAATTCTCACGGATCGAGAGACCTCGATCGAACGATCGGACGACGGCAGGTCTCGGTGAAGCGCCACTTGAGGACGAAGAAGAGCTGCTTGGGACGTTCCCCGCAACATTTTTTAAGACGACACATCCAGTTCAATCAACATCGATAACGTCGACGTATAAAGGCTAAAACAATATCGATGAGCCAATAACAATATAGCGCAAAAAAGATCTGATCTACAGGTTCTCCTGGATACATTTGAGAATCTGTTTAAGATGGCGCGAGAAAGAGTCGAAGCACAAGGGAACGGAAAGGAGCTGGGAGGAGAGACACCGGGATGGCAACCGATCGGTCGATCGATTGAGGATTTCGGGGAATTATTGAAGATTATCGAAAGTCAAAGGAGAGTTTACACTCACAATCGTGAAGGATGGGAGGAGTCGGCGACGGAGGAAGCGAGGTACATAATGATAGGAAAAAAAAAACAGGAATTAACAGTATCGAGATCGCATGTATCGCGAATGTCTCGCACGTCGCGGGGGAGGGGGGGGGCGCTCGCGGGTCAAGCGGTTATACGGAATAGTCACTTGAGTTTGCCAGACCTAAAATGTTAAGTTCCTTCATCGCGCGTGCGCGCGCGCGCGATCTCTCGCGTCTCTATACGTTGTTCTTTTCCTAACGTAGGACGATCGGGAACGAAGATCGAAGAGAGGAAAAGAGACATTCAGCGGGCGCGAAGGTGTGTTTCCGGTTTCCGTGGAGGGAAAAATAACACCTGAAGAACGTCGTTGAAGATGCCCGAAAGAAAGAAAAAATCTGGTATAACAATCTGATACAAAATTTGGTATAAACTGATATGAAAAAAAAAAAAAAAGAAACCGTTTTCTTCTCCGATGTCTTGAATGTTCCTCTAAACCTCCCACTCTTAATCTTTCCGGCATCTTTCGGAGTGCAGGCTTTTTTTTTAGGCATCCTTTTCAATGCGGATGCGTTTATTATTTCTTCGCCAAATTATTCTCGCGTGGAACACGTTAACCGTGGAAAACGGGAACCGCGTATCTCCAATCGTAACATCTAATTAACTTTCTCGCAACCTAGACTGAAAAAGCGTTCTCTAATCAGTACGTCACGCGAAACCGTTTTAAAGATATAGAAGCGCTCGTACTCTTGGCGCGCGCGTCTAAGTTGCACGACTCTGTTCGGTTCTCTGTGGTTGCGTTATTTATTTTGCTTATAATTAATACGCGAAGTATATATGTATATTCGGGCGTATGTGAAACAAGGACAGAGTCGACGCGCGATGCGGCGCGGTGAGAATACGGGCCACAACCGTCGTGCGGAGAGAGTCGCATGTAGCGTAAGAAGCGCCGCGAAAAAAATGCCGTTTTTATCGGTACCGTCAAACAGTAGCGGCGAGGCTCATTCGTTGTTGTTCGGATTAGGTACGGAGTTTGCGTGCCGGAAGCAGCAACGGCAGTTTCTCGCCTTTGCGGGAGCGGATTCCGTCGTGCCAGAGGGAAGGGGATACTGTACGTATATATGTGCGTGTAAATTCAGGCACCGAGTATTGCGCACTTTCGGATCGGATCCACCGCGAGCGTGCGAAGCCTAAGGGAACCGATTTATCTTCACGTGTATAACATAAATTTATATTTCTCCCGTTCGACGGCAAAATTATATCGCACTTATGTATCCTCGCGTTATATAAAGCGTTTCGCTCCGCGCTCCCCTTCGGGAAACCTTCACCGGATAAAATCTCGCGGTGGAATAAATGTGGACTACGAGGAGGAGCATCTTTCGCGTAGAGCTGATGCGTCGAGTAACGTGCATTGACGTCTGAAAAATAGTCTCGAGAGTATTAAAAGATGCAAGTACCATCGCACGGAGTAGACTTTGAGATGATTGCATATTCTGCGAATAAATAAATCGGCTCGAGGCACTTGATTGCGATCGACATTTTAAAAATTTCCTCAGTTGACGTTTCGAGCATTAATTTCTCGCGACTGTTTTTCTCAGAAAATAAAAAACGTATCGAACAACTATTGACTCTGAGATTGCATATCAGCTTATCGAACGATATATATTGCTGTTTCCGCCGCGTTTATATCGCGGTACGCGATACGATAGCGCCGAAGTGCACGGCGCGGCCTATGGGGAAGCATGACAGATATGCATCCGGTTGCCATTAACGACGCATTCCGCGGCGTATACGTGTGTCGCATTGTAATTAAAAGGCGTGATTCGCGGGCGCTATCGTGTTGTGTCCCCCACGTGTAGATTTCCGCTCCTCTGAAAATCGCGCGCGGGCCGGGCGAAGATATTTTTTTAGACGAATTTTCGCCACACTCGCCGTCGCACGCCATCGAAGATATGTAAGACAACGTTCTTTTCTCCCGAGCGTATTTTCTCGCGCGCCCGAGTTACTCGTATTTGTTGTTTCGCGTCCTCGCTACGGAGCGCTTGTTAATTTTTTCACATGTAATATATATATAATATATATATATATATCTATATAGTGTTTATTGTGTGTTTCGCGTTACAAGTCGAATCGGTCGGAGATAAGGAGGTATGGGAGGGCGATGTGTGTGCCCTTTGCCAGATCACATGTGCAAAGGACTTCGAGTGTTACGAGGAAGGTGCGCTACTTTCGTCATGAGAGATTTCTCTCTCGAGAGATACATCTCCTTTTTCTCCGGTGTCATTCCAAAAAGATACTTTTTTTACACAACTTTAATAAACGGGAAAAGTTTCGTTTCTTTTGCGTTGGTTAATTAATTGAATAGAGATTTTTTGAGGATTTTTTTCGTTGAAATATATTTTGTGAAATATATATTTTGCAGTTTCTGTTTTCACTTATTTTCAAATAATTACATATAATTAATAGTCCTTTCTAATCATAGAACTAGCTATAGTATAGAAAGAAGAATATTTACTTAATTGATGTGAAGTGATAAATATATGTGTATACACGAATTTCCTCCTATTGATGATAGTAATAATATCATTCATTAATGGAATAAACTAAAATATGAAGTTTATAAATTAAATTTTTAAATTAATAATAAATAATATTAATGATCATTGACGAATTAATAATTAATGATAAATGGATAAATAAAGTCAACTGACAAATTTCATCAGTTAGAAGAGGTGCAACAAATATCGAGTAAGACATATCGAATAAACGCAAGAATTGTATTTTGAAAAAGATTTTTATTGTGAAAATTTTAGCTATTATATGAATTTTGATTCAACTTTTTTCCGCGATTAAACGATAAAGTTAAATTCGTTTCATCCTTGCAAGACTGTGGCTAACACTCGATGTTCTTCGCGTCCGTTTTACAGATGCTCTGATTTCTCCCCGCGATGGGCATAATTTGCATGCTTTCTTTCTATCGGTTGCGTATCCGCGATTACGAACTGGGAGCAATTAAGCGATGCCGCGTGTAATTCTGTGATACCGTAAGCTATAAGGTAGAATTACTCTGCAACGATTAACGGGTTAGAAGGCGAATATAGTTAGGACGAGATTCGTACGAATGCGCTTCGATTCTTCATTGATCGCGAACCCGCGTTCTTTGAAATAACGTGTTTTTTTTTGTCGGGCTGAACAACATGATGTTCCAGTAGAGTGGAGATCTTCGATAAATTTTTTTTAAGGAAGAGAAAGAGCGTTCGTTGCTTTGAGACTTTTTCGAGAAAGACGAAGGAATTCTGGCGCACGAGCATTTGAAGTCGTTTAACGTCCGTCTTAACGTGTACATAATATTAAGAGTCTGAAACGCCGAAAGCGTCCATCGATTACAATTTGTCTGAAGGAAAGTGACTATGGAAGTAATTTATTTTCGGAATTGCAAACAGATTTTAAAAGTTACGATTCCGCTCGGTATAACGGACTCAATTCGATTTGCTCCAAGAGAAGTGAAATCTCTGAAATTCATTATAATGTAAGAAGGAACGGATTAACATGCATCGATTCGCGCTTTCGGACTCACGTCGGATTTAAGAGAAAGCTTAGTCGGTAGACATCACGCGGAAAATTTTGAAAATTTGCGTAGCTCAACCTGCATTTCTCTCTTCGGGCAGGGGAATGAAGATGAAGAAAAGGGGGAGAGGGTGAGAAAGAGAGTGAGAGACGAAGAAAAAGAAAAGAGGGAAGATTATTTGCGTACGTCAGTCGGCGTGATAAAGCAAATTGGGGAATAATTTTGCGTACGGAGACGAGTAATTTCCAAAAGTTGCCGCTTTATTGTAAGACTGCTTTAGTGAAACAAAAAAACCGCAGAGACAAAAAGTATAAGTATTTGATAAGTATAGGGCGATGCGCCGTGGTGCTGGGCGAAGCATTGGGAACACGCGATGCTCGATGGAATTGTATTAAATTTAATTCGCTTATATATATTGCAGATATGTTATATATATTTATATATAAATAATATGCCTTCCGTAATGTCACATTAAGTTCACATTAATTATGTGATTTGAAAGCTGAATTTTTTTTTATTTTTAAGTTTGAAGCTTTTTGGCGCTTGGATCTGCTGTGACAAATTGGACGATATAATTGACTTTATTACTTATATATCTTTCATGTAGATATATAATTTTGTTTCTCACTTACATTTGGTATCTTAATACTTCTTATTATTTTCGTATCGTTCAAATCGGTACTGCCATTGGTGTCAACTAGCTGAGGACACCGCGATCGAACTGCGTGCGCGCGTTCCCAAAGGTTTCGCCGGTCGATTCGTACTGATTAGAAAAAAGGTGTTATTAGAGTTTAGAAATTGATGAGATATAAAATATATACGATTTTATTCATTACGGCGGCCTCGGACCGCGGAGTAAACGGGGATTGGGACTTTTCTTCGCTCTTGATAAACCATGCATTGAATTTCATATTAAACGGCATATAAACGTGTACGGTCCTTGCTTTGATTTAAGTTGTTTATGGAAAAAGATATATTTTTTTTGTTTAACGCCACGATCTCTCGATCCACTTTCATTCTACGGTCGCAATGCGATTGCAAAGCTATACACGTGCAGAGATATATGTATACACATATATATAAAATAAATAATATATATGCATGCATATGCGTAATATATATGTATATGTATATATTATTTATTACGCGACGACTTGACTATTTTTTGTATTATTACTACTGTTTTATGGTTATTTGTTATACTTCACTCGGGACATTTGGAGCGGATTTTTAGCGCGTGTTTGAGGAGAAACCTTTGCAAGTATATATAGAGCGAGAAACGTTTCCGCGCAGTTTTCTCTTTGCAACAAATCAATCCTTTCAGCAAAGGTCAATACGATATCAAAAATCGCCGTATTGGAAATTATACTTCCGGCAATACGCAACGCGGAAGGGGATTATTAATTTCCCGAGACAGTCGAATCTAAATTATTTGTATTTTATTCTGAAGTACTTCATTAAAACGAAGAATAATTTGCCTCGAGAAAAGAAAAAGAAGATTCGTTTCTCGCAAAAGGTAATACTTGTTATTTCGACGAAGTACAACGTCGTCGCCGACCGCTTAGGTACTTTCTCCTCAATCACGATGATTGAATATCACTGCCAAAAGCCCACGATTATTAATAAAGCAAGAGAGTGAAAAAAAAGTAGCGTAGAGCGGCGGAACCCGATAGGATCCCCGCTATTCACGTAGCGGCGCGCCCGGATCAAGCCGTCTTCATCTGATTCTCCCCTTCACTCATATACACTATCCTCTCGAGTCTATACATTGACATATTTATTTTTCGACGGATAGCGGCTTTCGCGTTGTTGAGGGAAATTTCCCAGTCGCTCTTCTTTTTTTCCCGTGGGACTTTAGCGCCGACGACGATTATCATCTTCTGGAATCTATCTAGTTTTTTTCTCTGAGTTTTTTTGCTGCGTGCATACGGCCGTGGAATGATTGTAGAGTAAACGATGTAAAGAGGAGACTTCTGAACGAATTAATATTTACGAAGCCACGATTCTGACATTTTTCCTCAGGCAGATAAAAATTTCGAAGAAAATCCTCGCAGTAAGTCTTAGTACAAGTTGGAACACAGGATTATAGTGCAGCGGGGCACTCTGCAGTGACTCCTGCACGTGTATAAGTTACGTTGGCGTACAAATCGAAAATCAATAATAACCCTGTTCTTTGCTACTTATTGATTCAGACCTTATTCTCGGCTTTATTATTAACGCTGTTAGTCTCAGTAAGGCTCTTTTTTTGCGAGATACCTGTGTTCTCACAATCAGTGTTACACGAGATATAAAGTTTCAATTTGACGATTCTAAAGAAAGATTTGATTGCGAGGAAGCTTAGGCACGAAATCGGAATTCAGATGAAAAGTCACTTTCGCGAGGATGGAGATTTGTCGTATCGTCGTCGAGCTCGCTAATTGTTCGTGAATTTCGAAGAGAAATGCGAGCGAAAATAAGAAGATGGGTGCACATTCCATGCGTAATGATTATACATGCATGTATAAAGTAATCATCTGTTAGAGTTTGATAGAGAGTTCACACACATACACACGACAAACAAACGTACACATACCCACACACGAAACATGCGCACGTGTGCGCCATACTGCACTGGAAAATTATAAATGAATAATATAACTAAAATTTTTGAAGCTTACAAATAGACCTCGGTTTATCATTATTATGTATATCGTGATTTTTATGTCATGTTCAATAAATGAGTTTTTAAACTGCTTACATTCCCTAATTCTTTATTCCCGGAATTTCGGCCTACATTCCTAATCCTTATTTATAATTAATATATATACAATAAGGTACTGAAATATATGTATAAATACCACACGTTATTGTATTAAAAATGAAAATATAAATAAAGAGAAATATTCGAAACATGGGCACGGACGAACATTTAGAAATTAAATTGCAGATTTTAATTAAAATTTTGCGTTGCATCATGCGACGAAATTGTAACACGCGTGAAATAAATCTTTAGTATTGTTTATCGTTATATTTATGCGGCATGACGCAACATCATTTTTTTTTTAAAAGAAACAGGAAACGAGAAATCTTTAATTAATCCGTGAATATATATAATATGCAATATTCAAGAATGTTACTCGATTAAGTACTCGATTCTTGAATTTATTTTTTAAATGAGAAATATGAAGCGTGACTTGCATCGGACACGTAATGCGATAATAAGGCAATTGAGGAAGAAAACATTCTCAATATCTCGATATCGGTGACTGATCTATTCGCGATACATTCGAATGGCTTGAGTCATTGTATCGATGATATCATTAAAGCAATTTTTTTACCCTCCGGAAGTGACAATAAAAAAAAACGATGACAATGAAAACTCAACTTAAGTATGTGTCTTACGATATGGAATGATTAATGAAGTGATCGGTTTAAAATACAATGTTTTTTTCTTCAAGTTAAATAAAAAATTTTTTTTCTCTTAGGAAAATTAATTTTTACTCTTTAATTCTTGGTCCATGTGGGGTCCAAAAAAATTTGAGGCTTTATATCTTTAAGCTTTTATTTTGAAATGGAATTTGACTTGTCATCTACCCGAAATTCAAAGTATCCTCTTTGTGCCTAGACACCAAGTATTGTTCCTAGTGCGTGTAGCAGTCATTCACGTAACGTAGTTTTTATGTTAAGGTCATTCTGGACTCCAAAAAAAATTTGAAGCTTTTTATATCTCTAAGTTTTTATCTCGAAATGGGATTGACAAGGACTTGACAAGGTTATCTACCTGAAGTTCAAAGCATCTTCTTTGCGCCTAGACATCAAGTATTGTTCCCAGCGCGTCAATGTGCGTGTAGCAATCATTCAGATCTATATCTCTAAGTTTTTATCTCGAAATGGGACTTGACAAGATCATCTACTTGAAATTCAAGATATCCTCTTAGACGCCAGTATTATTGTTTCCAACATTTTCAGCCTTGTGTGTAGCAGTCGCTCACGTAACATCGTTTTTGCGTTAAATGCAAATATTCTGACGCCAGGGTAATCAAGATACAACTTTTTTTCTGAAAGTGTCATAATTGTAGAGTATAGCTATAGATTTTTATCGACAAAAAATTAAAAAATGAATAGAGTTATGATTTTTTTTTATAAGAACTCATTCAAAAATTTCTTGCGAATTTTTTAATATATTAAAATTAAAATCTTTACAAAGAGAGCACGCCGGTGTATTTCTATGTTTTACAATGTTTAAAGTATGTTCAATAATTTTGTTTTACTTCGAAGAACCAAAACTGTGAATACAGCATCTGGTTAAAAGCGCTAAGGTCACTTTGCATGCTGTGACTACGACATTACGGAACTTTCAAAAGGTTTGACCACGATGGGTAAAATTTTTGATTTACAACCTAACGACTTTCTGTAGCGGCAATATAAATTTTTCTTTGCGATTCAATACGCGATTCAATGTGCAGATTAAAGTAACATGCGCTATAACTTTAAACAGTATCAGTTAAATTAATTAATTTGTGGAAATAGCGTATCATGTATTCGCTTCTCATTTATTTTACGATCGAGATCTGCCATTCATGCATTACGTTATATTATTAATAGTTTTGCTTGCGTGATTCTCAATAATAAATTCACGCCACGTAGTCGCTGAGCTCAAATTTCAGTATTGCGACACGCGATATTTTACGCAAGCGGTAGTTACCGACAAATTTATTGCCACTAGAAACTATTCCGGCAGCATTTGTTTCGATTACCGTAAAATACACCTTTGAAACAATGTTTGCACACATGTACTACATTATTTACAATTTACAGGTTATCATTTTTCTGGCCTTATAGTTTCTGGTCCAAGGATAATTGAGTGCTTTGAACTTGCTTTATAATCTTCATGAAATGCTGGAAAGATTGCATCATCAGATGCAACTCCACGACGTGAAAAGAAAGCCTTTCGCCAGAGAAATAAGAGAAAGTACGAGATGGCAGTATTTTTTGCTTTCATATGTTATTTAAACCATCTCTCATGTAAAATTAGCATTTTTTGAAAGGGAAAATACGAGTATCAATCATGTAAAATATCGCGTTTGTCTTTAATTTTTAATGATTTATATAAAATAAAATATAATGTTAATATTGAAATAAATGATATGTTGTATAGACATCAGTATAAAGACATAAACATTTTAATTATATCAATAGGTACTAGTATAGCTTTTTGTGCCTTTTTAAAAACATTTTTTCATTCTATAATTAATGATTGGAAATAGTCTATTACAAATTAAGATTCGTAATTTCTGTAGTGAAAATAATATAATAATATCTCTTGATTAATTTTATGTCCGAGCTGTAATAGAATCTCAATTTAAAACTTGGAATCTCTTTAATTTCTAATTTGAATCTTAATTAAAAAAATATAACATTAAATAAAATTAGGTAAATGCGATATATAGATTTTTGCGATAGAAAATTACTTTTGAGCCGTAAAAACTATGATTAAAAAGATATCCAGTGATTCTACGATACTCTGTATAAAACGTTCTCTTTTAATCGGTTATTGTTCCTTGTGATAAAAATCTATTGTTTCTATTCCGCGATAGTAGAGAGACATTCCTAGTAGGCGAGATTACGTAAAGAAAAAAGAAAATGCATAACGTGTGCGACGTCATGTACGCGACGCAATGACACGCGGTTGCACGTCAGTCATTGCGAAACGTCAGGTAAATTCCCTACGCATTGCGAAACAATAATCTCTTATCGTTACGAACGAAGACATTCTTCGCGGCACAATTCGCGGACGCGTGGACGTTCCAGTTTATCGGCGATCATCGGCGTCGTAATAACTTGGTATTATTAACGATAAGGCACGCAACTCAACGGCGACCGAAATGCCGGAGATCGCGAGATCGTCAATGATGAAAGCTCGATTATCGATGATGATGATGCAATTCGGGTCGACTTTTCGCGCGACCGAGGTGCCCGGAGAATCGTTAGCAAGCATTAATTTGCGACGCGTTGCAAGATATCGCGTGACTATTGTGATATCGATACGCGTGAATACGACACGCTTTGTGTGCGCGCGCGAGTTACGGAACAATATCTTAACACCGCGGCCGGCGCGTATTCAATAATCTGAGCAAAGTCGGCGTTACGACAGGATTTCGAAATATTGAGATACTTTGAGTAAACGCCGGCACTAAAAGCACATTTAACAATTAGTTTCGTCAGCGACGAGATATTTAATGTCAAAAGTCGAGAACTTGCGACGAGCGTCGAATTTAACTTTTCTTTAAACAGAAGACGATAAAAAGAAATTATCTCAGAATTTTGCGGGCATGTACGTGCTTAATTTTGTTCCCAATTCTGTTTGATAAGATCTATTTTTAAGCATCAATTTTAAAAACTGATATTTAATCTTAGGAACTGAGTTCGTATAACATACCTAAAAGAAAGGATTTCCATTGCTTATATAAATTATATAGAAATACAACTTTCGTATATACACATCAATTTATTCTTTTAAATAAAAAACTTTTGAGGTGGCGGTATTCGATTTTTATTTTTTTGCATTACATATTTCAACGAGAATGGAAATTCTCAATTATATTGCCAATGTGATAATTCTTAAATACGAATCGTTTTTTTTCTTTCCTTGATTTTTGCCTTTTGCAGAACTAACAGAAAAAGGAACGTGATTACATGTACTTGCACCATCGTAACATACATAGAATTGCTTACGCCAATGACTCCGCGAATGGAGATTTCCATCGCCAGAGGACTGGCGCCTACAATGGTATGTCATTGTCTGAGTTATTCGCGGGAAATCTGCGTCTGCAAAAATAGAAGCACATATATACGCACGAGAGATGAATAAGGAAAAAGCAAAAGGATGACGTGGAGCACGCGCGTCTTTACAGTTTGACAATCGGTCATGCATGAAATTCTCTCAGAATAAGGCACGATAATTTTTTTCCTTGAATTACAATTTAAATACTATTTCCAATTAGAATTTGAAAAAAAATTTCTTTATTGTCGATTAATATTTGTCGTCGTTCAATACATGTCGAACGTTAAATCGGTTGGAATATCGATCGAAAGTTATTTTGTAAATCACTCACGGTTGAACGTTTAGGAAAACATGATTTATCTATTAATTGTTTAAATACTTAAATGTATACAAGAAGATATGATAATTAAATCTCTTGCTGAAAGATTGCTGGAGTTTGCGACTAAACGCTGCATAATGAACGAAATTAATATAAACGACAAAATTTCTTTTTTCGGCTTTATTGTTCATTATGAACGATAATTCAATTTTGAAGATTAAATAACTTCTTAAAATTAACGTAGAAGATCTTGTCAAGTAACATTGGAAATAAAATTACATAGTTTTGAAATAATTTTTGTTAATTAGTATGAAACATATATTATTTTTGTCATAATTTCTCATCTCTGGAAAGCTTTCTCTCAGCTCCTTTTTAATGAGTCAATCAAATCAGAGCGTTATTATATTTGTCTTAAAATACAATTTAATAGAAAAGTAATCGATCTTTCGTCAAAAAGTTAATCGATCTAGAAGGAAAATCGGTGAAAAGTTCACTGCTTCTCTCTGAGATAGATAATTAACGTAAGATCCGGCGCGACCGTTTAATCGGCCGCGCCGGTTGTTCCAGTAATCTCGAGCGTAGTATGCCCCTCGCCCGAGGCCTGCATCCGCCAGCGGGAAGTTCATCAAGGTGCACGCGGACGCCCACGTCCGT